CAGGAGCTTCCGCCGTTGCGTCAAGCGCCACCCGGCCATGCATCTACCAGACACGCAATAGGCTACAGAGCATTCTCGAGACGGGCTCCTGATGGCCGAGGCTGTCTGGGCGATCGTGTTGCTGTCCCTTTGTCAAGTGGAGATACTCCCTAGTGTCGTCATGCGGAGCTCCTGAAAGTACTTAAGTTTTGCCTATGCCTCTACCCCTCACACACTTCACCTCTCTGTTCTCTTCATATACCCCAATTTGTTTTCACAGCTATGACATCTGTAAAGCTCTCAACCCCTCAGACGGGCGAGTTCGAGCAGCCCACCGGACTGTAAGTTGAATATCAGGCCCCCAATGGCCTCCGATAGCCTTCGGAGGTAGGGCAATGCTTCGGTATTGCCTGTCATACGTGCCAGCACTAACAGCTCGACCAGCTTCATCAACAATGAGTTCGTAAAGGCTGTTGACGGCAAGACCTTTGATGTTATCAACCCCTCCACTGAGGAGGTCATCTGCAGTGTTCAGGAGGCCACCGAGAAGGATGTTGACATTGCTGTTGCTGCCGCCCGCAAAGCCTTCAACGGCCCATGGCGAAAGGAGACACCAGAGAACAGGGGAAAGCTGCTTAACAAGCTTGCCGATCTGTTCGAGAAGAATGCCGACCTCATTGCTGCTGTCGAGGCTCTCGACAACGGCAAGGCCTTCAGCATGGCCAAGAACGTCGATGTTCCCGCCGCCGCTGGTTGCCTGAGGTACTACGGAGGATGGGCCGACAAGATTGAGGGCAAGGTCGTCGACACAGCACCCGACAGCTTCAACTACATCCGCAAGGAGCCTGTTAGTGAATTTTCTCTCAACATTCAGGCCTCATAGCTAACGCTCTCAGATTGGTGTTTGCGGTCAGATCATCCCATGGAACTTCCCTATTCTCATGTGGTCATGGAAGATTGGTCCTGCCATCGCCACTGGTAACACCGTCGTCCTGAAGACTGCTGAGCAGACACCTCTCTCCGCATACATTGCCTGCAAGCTGATCCAGGAGGCCGGTTTCCCACCAGGTGTCATCAACGTCATCACTGGTTTCGGAAAGATCGCCGGTGCTGCCATGTCCGCTCACATGGACATTGACAAGATTGCCTTTACTGGTTCAACCGTTGTCGGCCGTCAAATCATGAAGTCTGCCGCTGGCTCCAACTTGAAGAAGGTCACTCTTGAGCTCGGAGGCAAGAGCCCCAACATTGTCTTCGCCGACGCAGATCTTGACGAGGCTATCCACTGGGTCAACTTTGGTATTTACTTCAACCACGGACAGGCTTGTTGTGCTGGTTCGCGTATCTACGTCCAAGAAGAGATCTACGACAAGTTCATCCAGCGCTTCAAGGAGCGGGCTGCTCAGAACGCTGTTGGTGACCCATTCGCCGCGGACACCTTCCAGGGTCCTCAAGTCTCGCAGCTCCAGTTCGACCGTATCATGGGGTAAGCATTACCACCTCCGTGTAAAATATCGTTGCTAACTTCTAATCCAGCTACATCGAGGAGGGCAAGAAGTCTGGCGCGACCATCGAGACTGGTGGCAACCGTAAGGGTGACAAGGGTTACTTCATCGAGCCCACAATCTTCTCCAACGTAACCGAGGACATGAAGATTCAGCAAGAAGAGATCTTCGGCCCCGTCTGCACAATCTCCAAGTTCAAGACAAAGGCCGACGTCATCAAGATTGGCAACAACACCACATACGGTCTTGCTGCCGCTGTACACACATCCAACCTCACCACTGCCATCGAAGTTGCCAACGCGCTCCGTGCAGGAACTGTCTGGGTCAACTCCTACAACACTCTTCACTGGCAGCTTCCCTTCGGAGGGTACAAGGAGGTAAGAGCTCCCTATTTAAAACGCATGAGACATACACTGACCTTGTACAGTCTGGTATTGGGCGCGAGTTGGGAGAGGCGGCGCTGGACAACTACATCCAGACCAAGACCGTGTCTATTCGTCTTGGCGATGTTCTGTTCGGTTAAGCGCTATGCTGGTTTTTTAGCGAAGGATCTCATAAGTACTATGTATAGCTCAAGTAGTCATGAGGATCTAAATGAATGTAAAGAATTATCAACAATCTTATGAAATCATGTGATGGGTTGGACGGACGACCTACTAGACGATCTTGCTTTGCGCGGAAGGCGAACGGAACTCCCTTAACTTGCTCGCGCTCATGTGCGCTCAGCTGGCCAATGTTTGGCGGTGGGGCGGGTGGATTATCCTTTATGACGCGGTACAAGTCACGGGCGCGCTCATACCGCTTCCTCTTGAGTCCCCCAGCAATGCCAACGTTCTCTGAAGCCGACTGGAACGCCTGTTCATATGTATCCCTCCAGAGTTGTCGGAGCTCAGTCAATGCAGTCATGTAGACCGTACGTTTAGCATTGCGGATCGCTGCGGCAGCCGGTGTCTCGCCTGCAACTTCGATCTCACAAATGCGCGCGTCGAGAGTCCAGTTGGTAACAAGTGTTCGAAAGTCGAGTGTGCTGACCTTTCCCTTCACAAACTCTTGGATAAACGAGCCGCGCCCGTATCTCTCGGTTTGAATATTCACCCGGAACTTCTTACACAATTGATTTGCAAGCTTCACGGCCTCAGGGTTTTGGCTAATGCTAACGACGGTATGCTGCATGTCAAGCGGTACCACACCGAAATAGGCGGATAACACTCGAGCCCTCATCGTAGCGGTGGCCTTGTCAGTAGGCCAAACAGGGTCTTCCACGTTGAAGTTACTCGCGGGTGTGCCGGGGGTCGCTGCGAGGAATGCTCAGTCAGTACTCGAAGATGCACATTGGTGCTGGTTGTCCTCACCTTGATCGCGTTGGCTGAAGAGCTCAGCATACAGCACTATAGGCGGGATCTCCACGTACAGTTCCGGTGGCACCGATACTATAACTGACGCCATACTGCAACATTGTGGTTGTTGAAGGGAAAATTTGTTGCCCGAATGTAAAGAAATCCTTAGTGTATATGTCACATGCATTTTGTATAGGCACAGCTTACCCTTTTATACCTGCTAAAGGGTAATTGCTAGTAGAGAGTGTTGTAGGAGTAAACCTAGATAGTTCCTGCATAGAGCGCGTTAGTAACCTTAATGCGCTGCCTTCACTACATTGATTAGGCAGCTGCGCTGCGGTCTATTGATGAGGAATGAGAAACGAAGAAAAGCGGGTCCTCGCTTACCTGCTACGAGGAGGAAGGGAAATACTTCTTCCTACTACAATAAAGCGTATCGAGAGCTATGTACATGGAGGTAGAACACCTAGAAGCCTACAATACTGTTATTCTTTATAAGTTCTCTTGTTAGGAGTCGATGTAAGTTGCACTAACACGAATGACAGCAGCGATGTGTGAAAGGTGTAGAAAACAAAGTAGAGCGGTAGTACGAACCTGCAGATGGGTCTCGCAGTCTATCCTAGAAAAAGTTGAGTGCGCCCCAAATAGTCATGAGTGACAACATGGTAAGGCGCATATCGAGATGTTACAGATTAGAGTAATTGACCTAATCAAGCAGGCTAAAACTAGGCAGCCACTAACGTTCGAGGGACGATGGATGACATTCGGAAGGAGCTTCCGCGGTGAGGTATTGTCAGTCACCTACTTCCCAGCGGCTCAAGTCAAAGACAAACTACTGAGCCCACGTCCTACATACAGAAATTCTGAGGGAAGTCTTCGTGTTCAGAAAGAGATTGACTACAATACGGTCTGCCCTGAGATCAAGCTGGGAAGGAAAGGTTGGCGCCTAAATGAATTCACGAGCATCGCTTTCCAAGTGTGGGAACAGCAAGTTAACCTTACTTTGATTTCAAAGACTGAGCTCTATAAATTAGATACTGCGAGGAAAGAAGGTGTAGGCCGCAAGCAGAAAGAAAGTGGTTTGAAGAGTCGGAGGAATGAAGTTAAGTACACAAGCACACAGGCGAAGAAATAAAAGACGTCTTACGCATCGCTGACGCCGCTTTCTACCGAACGCAATTTAGCCAAGAGTCTTTACCTCCTTGGCTGGCACAAAAGGCTGAAACTAACAACAATATGCGGAGTCGGACTTTTTCGACCGAGTCAAGCGCAGGAGATGAAACAGAACCTATCGCACGGAGCACCTTGAGCATTGGATGCCATAGTCTTTGATCAGTAATGCAGATATTCATGACTGACATTGTGTCGTTGCCGAAATACGGCAGGGAACGGCCCGAAAGGGGCCGTCGAGGATACAACACCGTCTTCACTACATCGGACCGCATTGCCACACCGCGTTACAATCGATTAGCACTGTGCCAGCTTACTTCCACAAGACCAACGACTGTCTAGGGTCACAACGCGCTTGTCCTATAGAACGTAACTACGCTTCTCCATACAAAACCTACCCAGGTACGATCCCAGATGTCAACTTTTATGGTCTTGTCTGCGCCACCATTCATTTTCAGCTCCATGTTCGATATATCTCTTGTTATCAAGAGCGATACATACGTAGAATACTCGTGCCAAGAAAAAAGTCATGGCTTTGACCAACACTATAGTACAGTCAAATGAGTTCGTTGCAGATCATCTTTCTCCCACCAATAGGCTGTTCCGATGATTGTACGAGGCTGGTAAATTCTCGCCAGCTCAAATACCACTGTTTTGGGCTACTTTTGACCCAGATCGCAACCGGCGTCTTTCATAACTCGTCTACGGGAGTCTGCCCGACCTGTTTGACATGGGCGAACTTGACACCAGCACCAGCTAATGAATTCTCGGTCGGTGAATCTCTGCATTGAGATCATTAACTACAAACATTAGATCATAATCTACGTAGTGTTGGCAGGCCTTACTTCGGGAGTAACTTCAAAAATTATGGACCACTGGCTCTCGGCACCGGAGTGGCGGAGTCCTACGGAGTGTCACTGGTGTCATCACCAGGTATATAAGGAACACTGAGCATCTATGCTTCCGGATCAACTGCAACATCCTCTCTGATCATCTGTCCTTCATCAAGATGCAGATCACCGTCGTTACTCTCCTCTCTCTTGCTGCTTTCGCGTTAGCTGCTCCTCAGCCTGCTCCACAAAGGAATCTTCCTCCTTTTTGCAGCAGTGCAGGTGAATGTGCTGGCTGGTGTGGACCCAATCGTACCCCATTCTGCGAACGTTACCCGGATAAGTAGGTCACATAACCGTTTTCAGATACAATCTTTACTAAAGGGCTTACAGCAGTGGAGATCGCTGCGTCTGCAGTGGTTAGAAAGCGTGAAAGGAAACTGGTAAGTTTTCAACGCTTGGCCTACAAGACAATTCTAATTACCTAGTTGGACACACAGTATGAGCATTTACGTACATATTAAGCTCAGAGGTGACAAGCGGTATAATTGGATCAACGGATTCTAAAATTTTACAAATACGTTCATGCTTGTCGCTTCGTAATTGTGACTATGAAGGTTACCCAAAACATATAGAAGGCTGTCTATATTGTCCCCAAAGAAGCCACAAACCATGCTCCGTAGATCCTAATCCCACTTTGATCCCTTCAGCGCAATTCATCATCTCATTCCTCTTTTCTAGTTTCCCACAATCCTTGCTCAATCTGTACGTCAGAAGTAGAGCCCCCTTCGAGGATGAATATAGCAGACATGGCCGTAATCGAATCGCGTCGATCTTATCCTTATAGCATCGACTTAGCATGCTCTTTCCACAGCGAACGGAAGGAGTCTTCAAGCGGGCTGTCGCGTCGTTCAATCCTCTCCTTTGTTGTTTCGAATAGTCGAGGTAGACCAGTCTGCTCGAATGGTACTCCATCTCGCACCATACCAGCTAAACCTTTGCTCGATAACAGAATCTGCGGCATCCCATGGCCATTGAACCCAGCAATAATGAACTGGTGCGGTTTCTCCGGCACTGCACCAATATGGGGCATGAAGTCTGAGCTGTAGCCCATGACTGTGAAGAATGTCAGTTGCGTAAGTGCGAGAGGGTTATCAACTCACTACCAGTCCAAACCTTCTTGGTTTCGGCTTGCGTTTTCTCCCACCCACTGAAATAGCGCTGCATGTATCCATCAAAGTATGATGAGGCTTCATCAACAAGCTCATCATCGCGCACCGTGTTGAACCAGCGCCCGGGTTTATGCCAGAATCGCTGCCTCGCGCCTCCAACAATAATGCTTCCGTCGGTTCGGGGAATGAGATAGTCGTAATTTCGAGAATCAAAACGGATGTTGTATGTGTTATTGAGATGTGGCGTTTGTCGCTTCAGCGGACTGTCGATATGGCTGCACACGCCACGAATCGGCGTGATACTCCGTGCGTACGCCGGTAGAACTTGACTAGTGTAGCCATTAGTGGCGTGAACTACCTTCCTGGCTTTGATCGCACCGCGTGGTGTCTGAATCGTCCACCGGCCAGTCTCGTCAATAACCTCGGACACAGAGGCCACCGGTGTGTTTGCTTGTACATTCAACTTGTAGTCCTGCTCAAGTAGCTTCGCTAATAGTTGATGCACCATCTTTCGCGGCCACACGTGCGCTACGGTGAAGCTGAAGGCACAATGCGCACCCTTCACACCAGAAATCTTCGTAGTCCTGTTAGGATATGATTCAAATATTCCTACAGAGAGCAAGCATACGCACCCTTTCGGCATCTTTCTCAGGAATGTAAGCCACGTCTCTCAAGTCAACTGGCTTCTCTTGCCTTAGCTTCTTCCACGCCTCAGTTGTTTGCCTCGCATGCTCAGCATCCAGATACACATCAATCGCTCTCGTGAGATTGAAGTCGCAGTCTAGCCCCTCAATCTCAACGAGGTCTTTTACCGCAGACACGTTCGCCGCTTCGAAAGAAGCCACCTCCGCCGCGGCACTCGTGCCGTACGTTGAAACATATTTCGAGACGTTGAAGTAGAGATCCGGCTTCACGTGCCCGCCGTTGCGACCTGTAGCCCCGGAGCAGATCTTGCGAGTATCGAGGATAAGAACGGATGGTGATGCAACTGGAGAGGATGATGTAAGGATATGGTAAGCTGTAGCCTGGTAGAATGTGGTTAGCACGTATGAGTATAGGATGGAGTCTGTGATGAACACTTACAACTCCAGCAAACCCCGCACCGATTATGACAATATCTGCTTCACTAGGGAGATCATCCGTGGTACGTAGATTATCGTTAGGATCAGATTCTGATGTCCAAAATGATTGCACGGGGTTTGAGACCGGTTTACGGTCGGTTGCCATGTTGAGGTACTGATTCTATGCCGTCTTGACAGACTCGTTGTTGAACTTCTATGATACTAACAGTCAGAGTGATATTCTTTCCACAATATCGTCTGGGATGCTGTTGGAGAGTTGTGGTACGGTACTACTCCGACAGCGGTATAGCAGTACAGCGGTACGTACGTATGCGCCTGACAAAGCACGGGGACGGCCGCTGCGTAAACCGCGCGCACACCTTCCCCGCTTCCTGAGCGTCTCCTGCGTGTGGAACCTCCTACAGTCCTTCTTGGCTGCGTATGTTGATCCTTACCGACAAGAGTGGGACGTTGTCGATAGCGGACATGCTTTGCCGAAGTGCAGATCGACAAGGGGGTTTGCTCGCTTGTTTTGAATGATCATGCATGTCGGCGCCTATCCAGTACACAAAAACATCTAGTGGCGTTCTGGGCGAATACTTCTGCTCTACGATCACTTGGCACGACTATGAGGTGTTCGATATTGTGATAGTAACCTAGTCGAGGTGCATATTCCCATATTACTATGCTTCGAACCAATACCAGCTTACCTTGAGTTAGCATCGGACGCAGATATAATTCCGCGTGCCATCTCAGTGAAAGAATCTGCTGTGACGTCCATTTCACCAAACAGATTGTCGCAGCGAATCTTCTCCCAGACAGTGCAGTATGCAGCCTTGAATCTGTTGTTTGTTTAGCTGTGGTAGAGCAGACATCGATTTGATTGTGGAAACTTACCTATGGATTTTGGCAGCCGCTACATCCCAATTATGCGCAGCGGCAAACCATTCCTCATCGCTGCCCAGCTTTTCCATCATCATCTGATATACCTTCGGATCCGGTTTACCGATCTTGGCCGTGTCGCACGAGATGAAGTTCTCCTTAGGCATGGGTATACCATTGTGCGTGAAGTAGCCTCCAACACGCTCCACATCTCCTGCTGTCAACGCCCAGACCGTGAACCCAGCATCCCTCAACATCTGAAAGCATTCTGCTACACCAGGTCGCGCCTCGAGCTTCTTGTACTGCTCCAGAATGTACTTCAGATCTTCGTCGCTAGCGAACACATGGGGTTCTTCGATACCGGACATGTATAGCATACGATAGAACAGGCTGCTGAAGATGTCACGGAACCCAACATAACGGCCATTCATACTGAGGCAAGTATACTCTCTTTCGGCGACTTCGATCCACAGGTAGCCGAAGAGTCGTGGTTTAATGCCTTCGGCACGCATCTTGTCGCCCAAGCGGTGGTCAAGAGCATCAAAGATTGCATCATAGGAGACGCAGGTGCCAACAATATCGAACACCACGTGCTTATTGGGTGTGGGCATTGCGACAGTGTTGCGTGTTGAATGTATTGGGCTTCCGATCGGGAGTTTGGAATTTCTCAAAATGGGTGATAGTAAGAGTTGATAATAGATCCTGCTCGCATGTCAACAATGCACCATCTGGGTAACTATAACGAAGCATCGGGGTGTGCTACAACGATATCGGAGATACCTGTGCGAGGTTTTGGGCATGATAAGCGCTGCTCCACTCGAAGCTTGGCCAGCATCACTGCGGGGACCGACTACTCACAATCCTGTCCAAGATTTCTGAGGTTGATAAGAACAGATAGGAACCGGGATGCTGGATTGACGACTATCTGGCTTAGCAGATATCGGATGATGATAAGCACAAAATCTTGGAGAGTGTCATGCGAACAGGCATCCGGGAGTGTGCAGCCGCCAACATGCAAGTATATGTTTTGAACCCAATGCTTGTCTCGGTCGGCTGAATTCTCTGCTCGTCTGTTATCCCTTCCAAACGACCTATTACTCTCGTCTCTCCATATAGGCAATCATGACCATGACGTCCAAGGATGTGGAAGCACCGAGGATGACACTGAGAACCCCCTCTATACCAGACGACGAGAAGAGCAGCCCGCAGATACAACATGGAGAGGTCGAAGATGCAGCAATCGTAGCTGCACTACAAGGCTATGTGCCAGGTACCGCGGAAGAAAAACGTTTGGTACGAAAGATTGACTTCGTATTCCTTCCAATCCTTTGGTGGATGTACATCCTTGCGCATCTCGACAGGAGCAACATCGCCAACGCCAACGCGGCGGGTATGAGCGAGGATCTTGGACTCTCTGACAACCGTAAGCGTCTGAATGCAGAATACTAAAAGTGTAAGCTGACAACATATAGAGTATGCAATGCTCGTATCACTCTTCTTTGTGGCATACGTCATCTTCGAGGTTCCTTCGAACATGATACTGATGAAGGTGAAGCCTTCGATCTATTTATGTATGTGTGCTCAATGAGATAGAATATGCTATGGCAGAACTGATGGATATTAATTTAGCCACGATCGTGTGGGTTTGGGGATGCGTTGTTCTCGGGATGTCACAAACCAAAAGCGCGACAGGTTTGCTTATTGGACGCTTCTTTCTCGGAGCTATCGAGGCGGGGTTGTATCCAGGCGCGCTGTTCATTCTTACTTGCTGGTACACGAAGAAAGAAGTCGGTATGTACGCCATTGAACGTTCATGACATGAGTCATTGACCAAATCTCCAGGCAAGCGCTTTTGCATATTTTACACGTCGGGCTGCGTATCTCCCGCACTGGGTGGCATCATGGCAGGCGCAGTAATATCTAGCCTGGACGGCGCTCGTGGGATTCCGGGCTGGCGTTGGTTGCTCGTCATAGAGTCCGCAATTACGATTTTCTGTGGTTTCGGGTGTGAGTAGTCTCCACGTCAATTACGTTGACGCTGCTGACTGCCTCCTCACATCAGTGTATTTCGTTCTTCCCAACTGGCCAATTGACTCCAGGATGTTGTCGCCGGAACAGCGCCTTCTTGCTCATGTCCGCATTCTCCGCGATCGAGACGAGCCGTGGGATACCGAAGAAAAGGCCCTTACACCACTACAGGCGTTCCTCGCAGTGATCAGAGATGGTCGAACCTATCTTTTTCTGATCATCTATACGGCGAATTGTTTGGCGCTGACCGTGTCTTACTTCATTCCAACCATGCTCCGAGGAATGGGCTATACGAGCACTAGTGCCCAGTGGATGACGGTACCCATTTGGAGTTGCGGCGCGGTATTTTAGCTCTTTTGGTAAGTAGCTACCATGCACGAACGAGCTAAAAGATACTGGCTAATTGCATGTCCGCTGTATAGGTCATGGACTTCGGACAAGACCCAAGACCGAAGATGGCACAATGCTGGCCTGCTTGGGTTTGCTGGAATCGCTGCACTAGTAGCTCTCCTCGTCAGCAATAATGCGGTCAAGTATGCTATGTTGTGTGTCCAGACTGGCGCAATGTACACAACAATACCTCTGATTCTCAACTGGACCAGCGAAGTTCTGTCTCAGCCAACACGTAAGCGATCTACAGCTATGGCGTTGGTGAACTCATTTGGTCACACGAGCTACATTTACGGAAGCTTCCCGTGGCCCAGCGCCGAGGGGCCACGTAACCTAAAGGGATTTGCCGTGTCGACTGCCGTCTTGTTCCTCGGCGTCTTGATAGCTGCATTGATGCCAGTGATCGCGAGTTACCTACCAAAGCCGCAGCCTGACGTAATGCTTTATGGACAAGAGTTGTTTGTTGCTGGCGAGGAGAAGCTCGAGAAGCAGGACGGATGATCTTGTCGTGCAAGAGCGAAGAGAACGTAGGAAGATGTATACGATGCAAGAATAACCGAATGACGCAAAAGTGAGGCCGCGATCGTGGAAGGGAGATTCGATGGGCCAGGGTCAGGTACGTACCGAGGCCCCGGCTTCTGCGCGGAAGGCGCGATGTAGATCCGCGACCCAAACCGGTAAAGTCTGTTTTCTCCTGATCTAGACGTCCTTTCCTGCATTCTGCAGGCTTACCCAACGACCGTGAGCGTCGCGCTGTCGCAAAGTTCGTATTTGAACCTTGCGAATAACATTGGCTTCATCTTATTGTTGCATCTTGTGTTCAGACGTATCACTTACAAGGATCATGCCCATCACGCGCTGAATTGAGACAACCTTCATGAGCGTCCGTACAACGCACGGCAATACCATTGAGAATTTTCTCCATCACCCTAATCCGCTTGCTTTTGTTTGCATTGACTTGAATCCGTAGCCCAGGATTACCCAGTGTAAACCTCATGCGTTCATTGATTCAAGATTGGCTTTGGGTAGAATTGGAAACCCACTCAAAGCTGACTGTCTCTAACAGAGAGAGAACTCTCTTCAAGCATCAGTAAATCTTGACTACGTGGCTACCATGACTAAAACCTTGTTTACTCCGCCAGTTCACACACCACATTCCCCGTGAACATCAAAGCTGTAAATGGTCGCTTCTTGAGGCAGCACGCGCTGCATCTTGCACAGCACTTCGGCCCAGTAGAGTTAAGCGCATGTTGAGCACGAGTGCTGCCCTCCATGTGAAACACATTCTTCCGGTCGAATCCCCCAAAGATTGCCACGTCCCGTGTATCATCTTACGTTCAAGCGCAGACTGCATGACAACAGAGCTTTGCCGTGAACGATCATCACGCTACGGGCCGTTTGAGCAACGAAAATCTCCCCCCGTTGAGTTCGGGACTCACTCTCTACCCTGTTGTTGGGCATCAGTAATTTTGTGATCCTCAACAGCAGCCTCTCCGCACTCGGGATGTCATGCCAGACTAGTGTCTCTGAAATCAGATACGCTCTCATTGGAGCTATGTGTCTTACGTTGCCGGCTGGGTCTATGAACACTGACGATCGCCCAGCAGTACAAGTGCTTGGACGGTCGATAACTACCTAAGCAGGGAACGCACAGTGAACGCACACGTGCGCCACTGTACTTCATCTTGAAGTCTCGGGCCTTCTACATTACCAATGACTCCAGAATGGCTTACTATTGGCACTTACCTCGGCCACTCACTGCATACACTTACCCTTCTCATCTGCTGACCCCAACAATCATAGGGCTGACAAATACGAGCCGTCTACTTCCTGGAAGTGGCACACAGTCATGTCGAAACAAACACATGCCTTTGTGGCCTGGAAAGCTTTTCTCTACGCAAACATTGCCAAGAAGGTGCGTAGAACTTCATTGACCAGATAGTGTGCTTCTAGAAATAAGCATCAATTTCGCATTTGCTTATACGATATACAGAGTCGAATCTTATACCATGCACCTAGTAGCCTCAAATATCGAGTCCCCCGTGTGTACAAAGTTCATAATAGGTCCGAACTTTGAGGCTCTGGTGCTCACGGGTATCAGGGTCCCCCAGCGTCGGGCTCATGGGTTCAACACAGGGACGCACATGGATTACCCATCTTGGCAAATGATGGGGCAACGGTGATACAAGACAGAGCACCTCAGCGAAATATATAATCTAGCTCGGGTAATGTGGGTATCTGCATTGCTCATCGAAGACTACCTTTTCATTCTCTATCATGTCAAACGACACCTTTTCAGGCGACTTATTGGCCGACTATCCCGCCGCCGCTCAAGGCGCAATAGCAAGCGACTATGTCCTACGCTGGAAGCTCGTTGGCGCTCTTTTTGTCATGCTCGTTGTCTCTCAAGTCACTAGGATGATCTACCGCGCGCACATCGACCCTTTGCGAGCTATACCAGGGCCTTGGATCAGTTCAGCAACATCAGCCTGGATTCGCTGGCAGCGATGGCATGGCAGATTGTCCTTTGAGGCAGACAAGCTCATGACTAAATATGGGCCCATTGTTAGGATCGCTCCTAACCTTGTTATCCTCAACGATTCCGAGGCAGTGGAGAGAATCTTTGTAAGAAAAGACCTTGACACTTCGCCAACATCCATCCGAGCCTTGCGCGTAGGCGGTCATGACTGGACCGTTACATACCCACAGCACCCGATTGCTCGCCAGAGACGACATCCAGTCATGATCGCCACTACCACGAAGAACATGAAGCTCTGGCATGACGTCTTCGTGACCAACATCGAAGCCATGGTTCGCGATCTCGCAAAGTCAGACGGCGAAAAGTCTGAAGACATCGTATACCACCTGCGCATAGCCACTCTTAAGAACTCTCAAGTCGTCATGGGTGGCTCGGGAGTTGACCTTGGCTGCAGCGACTTTCCCCATGTTGTTGGCGAATACAACTTCCTTGTCGTCTGGCGTCTCTGCCTTCCAGAGTGGTTGTTCGCATGGCTTCAATACGGTCCTTTCGCGCATCCACGGTTTCGGGTACGATCTAGTGACAAGCTATTCGACTTGGGCGCAGCGCTGTGTAAACAAGCCGCTGAAGTGAGCGAAGAGCCAACCGACAACGTATACAAGCTATTCACTGCACCAGACGCCAAATACCCCGTCGAGCAATCGTGGACAGATGCAGAGATTGGTGCAGAGATGGCGGGACAGGTACTTGCTGCCACTGAAACGACTTCATCAGCTCTCGCCTTCATATACTACGAGTTAGCGAAGAACCCAAGCCTTCAGGAAGAGCTATACAAGGAGGTAGCCGCTCATGAGGGTTATGAAGAGCTTGACTCGTTGAAACTTCTCGATGCATGTATTAAAGAGGGTCTGCGCTTCCGCCCACCTGTCGCTCTCACAGGTTCACGCCTTGTCCCCGCTGGAGGTATCAACGTCCTTGATTACCACCTCCCTGCCGGTACTGTTGTGACTACACAATCCCTTAGCATGTCTCGTCAGCGCCCCGATCTCTTCCCTGACTTCGATACCTACAACCCGCGACGCTGGCTCGTCGAGGACGAACATAGCGCCGAGCGTCGGAAGATGCTTGTGCCTTTTGGTGTAGGAGCGAGGCGCTGCCCAGGAGGAAATATGGCGACCTATCAGATGAGACTCATCTTGGCGGCGACATTCAGAGCGTTCAGAATTGAACTTGCACCTGAGACAACACCGGAGAAGATGGCGCCGTTCGAGGCAAACGGATACCGAAGTAGGCATGATCGATGTGATCTGATGTTCAAGCCTAGGACTGCGTGATGATTCCGGTGTAACATCGATCGATCGTCCATTGTCTTCATGATCGTCCTTATGATACTTGTGTTACTCAAGCGAAGATTTTCAGATGTGTGGATGGCTTCTGGCGCTCATAAGCAAGCATGCATAGTTTACCTTCTGCGTTCATTTGGAGTTCTTAGATAGGTAGCGTCAAGATTACTCGTCATCAATCCTCATAAGCTGTTGCGGAGCAAAATTGAAGACCCATGTCTATAATCGAATAGGTCGTTTGTATTCTATATCGGATGGAATTGTACCCGCGATAACTTGGGCGAGTAGCATGTTGTGAGGTGGCTGGCGACCAGATGACAAGCTTCCTGAGATGTATAAGGGATGACGCGTACCTACTGACGTCATCATCCCACCTGTACCTTTGAACCTAGGCAGTTTGAAACCACCACATATTCACGCTACACGTGGACATCGCGAAGTCGAGACAAGACACAAACAAGGAACCTTTCTTGCTGCTCGTGCATCGCCAGGGCATACGCTTGCGGCTGCGAATCCGCCTGGTGGAATCCTCAGAAAGCGGGGAGACGTGGCTGCGGTCTGCGGCGCTTCCGATAGGGTCTCAAGTCGCATCTTGACACATCATCGAATCGATCTAGAAACCTCACATATCTTTCAGAATTGTAGATCGGCCAGGCCCACGTACATCGCATAAGCAGTTGCGCTGGTACCTAGACAGCATACACACAGCCGCAACCGCTCTGTACCCGTCCGGGTCCTTATCTACATACGCCACATCCGTATTATCCCGCATCATCGTGCGTGTGATCTGCAAGTGCAATGTTTCAGACGCACCATATGCATCACCTGGAGCTTAACGAAAGCTTGATAAAGCTTGGAAAGCTTGGTCGCATGCTTGCAAGCCCATGACCACTGCTGCGACATTCCGGCCGATGTGCCCGCCGGTTCCTGGTCGAGAGCTAATGATTGGAGCGCTTGGATTTGGGCAGGTAGGTTTGCTGCCTCAAGGTGGGTGTGATGCATGCGTTGGTGGAAAGCACGAAGGTATATATGCCGCCTCATTGTCACTTCAAGCAGAATAATTCCTCATTTCCAATTCTCCATTACACCAGTGCTACAAGACAAATCTGCTGAATTAAACCTACACTACCATCGACTGAGCAATCTAGTAACGACATGGCATCTCTACAGCGTCTCGCTGTTCAGCGTAGCCCTGCCTACAAGCCCGCTGGGGTCAAGAGCTATGTCTATGCGATGACAAAGTGTAGGTGACCTGTTACATTCTCTCTCAAGTTCTGAACTGACATGCGCAGATGGCTTCCATCCGACCAAGCCAGGCCCATATTTCCAAGCCAAGGTCATGTCACAGCAAGGCAAGTTTGGACGAGTTGGCGGCCGCATGCGATCACACTACGTCTTAAGAAAGCGGGTGCAAACATCAGCACCGGGCGGTGCGCAGAGCAAGGCCGCAGCCCCAAGCGATGGAGGTGGAACTGAGGGCGAAGTGCCCGCTGAAGACATCCAGAACGACTCATTATATCTCTGCGAGGTCGGTGTCGGAACACCTGAACAGAAGTTGTACCTGGATTTCGATACAGGATCTTCGGATCTTTGGGTATGTGAGCCCATCTAAGTTCTCGTGACATATGCTAAGACGTACAGGTCTGGTCCACTGAGCTTCCCAAGAATATCCTCAGTTCTGCCAATCCTTCGAACCAGCAGGTCGCTTTCGACCCTTCCAAGTCAAGCACATTCAAGAAGCTTGATGGTGAGACCTGGAAGATCTCATACGGCGACTCTTCATCAGCAAGCGGTGATGTAGGCACCGATGTTGTGGATTTGGGTGGCCTCAAGGTTGAGAACCAGGCTGTAGAACTCGCAAAGGAGCTTTCGCAGCAGTTCGCACAGGGAAATGGTAGTGGACTGCTCGGATTGGCGTTTAGCTCCATCAACACTGTTTCTCCAACTCCACAAAAGACGCCAGTCGACAACATCATCGCACAGAAGACGGCCAAGGAGCAGCTCTTCACGGCATACCTTGGCAGCTGGCGTGATGCGAACGAAGCTGACAAGGGAAAAGTAAGTTCCATCCTTAATATGTTTGCATTCTTCATTTAACATGCCTACAGAGCTTCTACCCCTTCGGCTTCATAGACCAAGCCGTCATGACCGCCTCTGGAGCCTCCGAGCCCAACTACGCTGATGTTGACAACAGCCAAGGCTTCTGGCAGATCCAGTCTACATCAGCCACCATCAATGGCGAGACTGTCAACCGATCCGGTAACACTTCCATCATGGACACTGGTACCACGCTCTGCTTGGTTGATGACGCTCTTGTGGATGCTGTCTACAAAGCTATCCCTGGCGCCCAGTACGACCAGAACAACCAAGGCTATGTCTTCCCTGCCTCTACATCCGCGGATGATTTGCCAGAGATTAAACTCGCCATTGGAGACTCCATGGTGACTTTCCAGAAAGAAGATCTGGGCTTCGCCGATGCCGGAAATGGCAACGTGTACGGAAGTATTCAGAGCAGAGGATCCATGGACATGGATATCTACGGCGATGCCGTATTGAAAGCCATGTATGCGGTAAGTCATCATGAATCCACTTAGATCAGTGAAGCAGTACTGACTAGGCTTCCAGATCTTTGATATGAACAACGGTTCGCCGAGGTTCGGATGGGTGCAGAGGAAGGAGGCGACACAAAACACGACCGCTCCCCCATCGCAGTAGATGTTGACGTGCACCTGCCAAAGACGAAGATCGTGCGCAGGGCAGGAGGCAGGACTATCGCCGTTTGGTGTCCAGAGTTATGTGGATGTTCGCAATAGGTTTCCATACAGCAGATGTTATGCCCCGACGAACAATAGTATCTTAAGACGCATTTGATGAAGTTTCTTTCAATGCCATGAGTTTCCCCACATCCCTCAAATCAGGTACAACATCTGCATCTTTGTCGTTCGTGTCTTCAACTCTCTGCATCCGCTTTCTACAAAACGCCTGTAGATCCATCTGCGCATCGCTCTGCATCGAGACTCGGTCTTGCAACCGCTCGCAATCGTCCTCCGGGTGACTGCGACTCATGGACGATAGTCTGATGCCCATCTCCACAGGCCTGCGCCACGGTGGACTCCCGATAGTGAAGGAACTCCAACGTAGGTGCGCCAACTTTTGCCTACAACTATGCCGAAGGCAAACGGGTTCGTCTGTTCGGTGGAGAAGGTGCCGAAGGTGCCGAAGAGAAGGCAGTGATGAAGCGATGCAACCGACTCCTATCTCGACGTTCGAACAAAGTATTATATGGGCAGCCCAAACTAATCATCGCGTTAGCATTCGTGTACAGGATGACTCCAAGGTCTATGGTGTCAAAGCGCACACGGTATGTCTTTACCATCCTCATATTTGTTAATATAAGGAATCCGAACAACTGTGATGATAGACGCCCTTGGTGACGTCAGTCATCGGCAGCAAGGCAACATGTTTGCTATTGATTAGATCGATTGACTTACACGGAGGCAAACGATAGCAATCCTAGAGCCTGCAACTTCCGTTTCCTTTTCATATGCGTATCCCACAGGATGATGGCTGGCACAATCACAAGTCCAAAATCCGTTACGATTGTCGAAACAGTAGCAACATGGCCAAGGATGACGAACGTAGATATTGGTGCGCATTCTCCTTGCCGAGTCCATGTCGCACTGACTGGACGACAATATAGCAGGACGCCGACGAAGGTTACAAAGAAGGACGCCCATGTCGTAGCTAGTAGCGCATATATGGTGGGGCGCAGCCTGGGCTGTGTCGCGGTGACGTAGAAAATCGTCGTGCAGATCGAGGACTTGACTGGCGCGAGCGCAGTCACATACATGAGGATCCAGATGATGTAGTACTTTATCGCCTCACTTGAGTGCCATGCATCGAGGTGCTTGTCGCGTCTTCCAATGCCGACGAGGAGGGCTCTTATCGTCAAAGAGATAGCAACAGTGTAGAATACCTGGCACCTCGAATGAGCAGATACTTACATGGGATATGCTCCTATCCCACCTCCTGTGTAAGAAGTAACTTACAGCACCGGCAATCACGAAGCCATCATCCAACCTAAAAAGGCTTCTTGAAAGCCTTACGTAGGTTCTTAACGAGATGGCAATCAGGGATAGCCCAAGGAAGGTACACGATATCACCATGATCGCTGTTGTTAGACCATCGAAGCGCGAATATTCCCCTACCGAGTCAGCTTCCGCAGACACGAATGGCGATAACATTGGGTAGGTAGACTCATGTCCACCATGAGAAGGAGGTTGCTCGTTAACATATTGGCGTTGAAGAAGCTGACTCCAATCCCAGGATATTAGGTTTACCAGCACTCGGCGGCTCCGCTTCTACAGGCTAGCTTGATTCGGTGACTCGGCTCGAACATGAAGTTAATATCGCATCAACTACACCGAACTCGGAGAATTCTGATCAGATCAAAACTTCGACGTTGGGTTTCTTCGGTTACTCTTGCTGCACAGACATGTCAGGCTGCCATCTAACCCATACATGTAGAAAGTAAAGCGCGCGATGTCGATTGTGGTGACAGACTAAAGCACTGCTATTCGTGGTGATCCACTAAACTGATTCTAAGGTCTTCGATCTCCCGGGATGCTACCGCATCAAGCGATCGTTACTCTTACTCCTCTATTCGCCTTCGTCATGGGCACGAACATGTCGTGATCGTATGTTACGTCCTCCTCAGTAGTATCCGACAATCGCATCTGGGGTAGAACACGCAGCACCAATGCAGCCAGACACAAATTAAGCTCACATAGAGCCAAACTACGAGACCAATGTTAGAAACCACCTGCTAGATCCGCATGGATGTGTTGCACTTACTTCATTCCCAAACAAGATCGACTTCCCTTCGAAAACGTCAACATACTACGCTCAGCTTCTTTTCTCCTGTTGTTGTTCTCGTTTAGCCATCGCTCAGGAGCAAAGGCGTAGGAATCGGGAAAGGCGCGTTCGTTATGGTGTGTGACGTAAGCTGACATGCCGATGGCATAGCCTTTGGGAAGCACATATTGGACGCTCTTCTTGTTCCATTCTCCACGGTAGAGTAGGTTTTCTTCAGTGGGCACACGCGCAGTACGGCTAGAAACGCCGTAGGACAGTCTCAAGCCCTCCTGGATGACGGCTCCAAGATAAGGCAGCGTTTCCAATACAGGCCATGATAGATGTCTCGGGTCATCCACAACAGTTTTCAGCTCTGCGGTGAGCTTAGCAAGAATCTCCGGCTTGGTTAGTAAATGATAAGTCATGACCGCCAACGCCCAACTTGTAGTTTCCGTTCCAGCACCTAGAACAGCCTGTGCTTCTTCGGACAAACGCTGGGGTTCCTTGTCCAGAATCTCGAGATCGGATTGCAAAAGACTCGCGAAAATAGTCGGCCGATCATACGTAATACCGGCATCCATGTCCTCCTTGGTCTTGCGTACTCTGGCTGGCAGATCAATCTGCAATGTTTTGACCATAAGTGAAATATCCTTGGGCAAGTAATCGACGAATGTCGCTGCCAACTTTGTAGTAGATTTCGTCCAAGGGAAAAAGCGGAACACAAAGACAGGACGCAGAATCGAGGCAGTTGGTTCTCTGAAATTAGGGAACCAACCTGGTTGGTCGAGGAACCCAAAGCTCTCACCGAAGCTGTATTTGGATATGGCGTCGGCGGTAAAGCAGCTGTATGCCATGGTGACGTCGAATGGCTTGTTATCACCCGATTGTCGGAGAAGCTTATCACAGAGCTTCTGGACGTCAGAATGAAGATCGGGTTCGAGTCGCGTTATCATTGTGCGAGAGAAGAACTTTGCTAGGGGGATGCGGCGAAGGCGGTGGATGTTGTGGTCTACGGTTCCAAAACCGGATTCTCCAAGACTGTGCAATTGTCAACTGGAATTCATGAATGAAAGATATACGAGAGACTTGCGCTGACCCATTGATCTGGTGTACAGGCTTGTCGCGCTTTCGGCCACCGACGGCGTAGATTTCGTCGGCGAAGCTGATGTCGTCGCAGTGTACTTCGTTGGGGTTGATGCGGATGATGGGTCCTGGATGCGACATTAGCTTCTATACAATTGCACAATGTCTGCTTGTCTACTCACCGTACACCTTGTGCATGCGCGCGATCTCCTTTGTATAGCAGCCGAACCTAATGACATCGTGGTAGAATTCAGGCAGGTATGTCGCTGCCGCTAGTTTTGGTCCAGGGATTCCGCTCAACGGATGGAATGGCGAGATGTTGTAGATGGCCTCCAGAATCTTGTATGCGAGCCAGATACCCGCAAGACCTAGCATATAGCCCACTGGAGGAAACCATGATGCCGACTGCGAATGGACACCTTCTGAATCCATTTTGGAGAACAATGCAAGAAAGAAACTTCTGTTGTCGCGCGAGAAGACATTGCATTTACACTATTTTCTATTCGCACAAAGAGACGACGCTATCGTGTCAAGTTGCAGGGGGGCCTGAAGCATGTCTGCGGCAGAAAATGCGTATCTAAGTGGGGTGAGCTCACTGGGCAAAGTGGAAACACGGTTAATAGACGTTAGACGTTGCGGTTGTTGCGGTTATTCGGGAGCGAGCGAGTACCGTGCAAATACCGACATGTGATCGAGTGGTAAGGCGGAACGCCATCACACAAGAGGTTGGTGTAGACGTTGGAAATGAGGGTCCAGACTTGTACGTGCGGAGTGGGGGCCGGTTTCGAGTCATGTGAGCTAGGGTTTCCAATCTGGACTTAGTCGTCCTCGAATGGACGCTGAAAGACCGGTGTGGCTATTTTCATCTCACGTTTGATATCTGAAGGGCTGTTGAGTAGCGAGCAATCGCGGTTGATGCAAGGGTGTGCCAGAAGAAAAACAGTTTGTTGTCATTCATCATGCTCGTGCGCTAGGCTTGCAAGGTCCCGTGTGTCTCATACTATGTTGACCTCGTACGTGTCATCTGGTTTTACATGTTCTAGTCCATCAATTCTCTTTATCCTGTCTTCAAGACGACCTTGGTCGAGGTGTGACCATCTTTCCTCTCGCCGCAAGCGCAAGCCAGCCTGCAATAAGGCAGGCCCCGCCAATGGGCGTAACAGGCCCCAGAGACTTGTACTTCTTGGCATCCAGCACAAGTAGGTATATGCTTCCAGAGAACATGGTCATGCCCGCAGTGAAGAGGGCCATTGCGATTGTGTTTCCCGGCGCGACGACGGAGGTCATGGTCAGGACGACGGAGTGAACGAGCTGTTGGTGTCGTTAGCAGGGTCCATGGGCACAAAGGCGAAGAGGATGCGGTGTGCGAAGAGGGGCACGCGTTGGTGAAGCGGGGAGCATATGTACCTGGTATTGAGCAGCGGTTCCCCAGTTCGCAATGAGCGCTGGATCCCTAATCCGTTGCTTCAGCCCATGCGCACCGAAAGCGCCGAGCGCAACGCTCGAAGCACCGAGCAGCGTGCCGATCGTCCAGAATGGCGACATGGAACTGTAGGTCGTGCCGTAGGATCTACTGCTGCTATAGCCTGATTCGTAGATGGGATCGTGCGATCGGGATTTGCGGGATGACGAGGATGAAGATTTCTTGGATGAAGACATAACAGCAAGTGAGAGTTGTTTGGGGTGGAGGGAGGTGGGATGGCAAGTTTCACTCAACGAAAGCCGCGGTATGCGGAGTTTCGGAGGTGTGCGTTGTCTGATTGGTCTGTGCACACAAAGACGGGAAGTGGAGCGTGTGAAGGTTGTACATTTGTGGTGGTATCCTAGATGCTGAAGTTTGCATCCCCCTATATTCTGAACGCCATAACGCCCTTCTGATGCAGATGAGATGCCGCGTATCCCATGAAAAATGCGACCAGATTGACGCGCACAACGTCCCATCTTCCGACAACTAGTCTGAGTCAATTTCCATGACTTCTCCATCTGCCTGTCTCTGTGGTGTCGCCTTCATGGCGCTTGTAGTAGCCTTCCTCTTCCCTTTCCCACTCTTCTGTTGTGCCTGCTTTATCTCCTCTTCAGAGATCAGGGCTCCATCGACACGTAGGAAGCCCTTACCCTTGCCCTTTCCATCCATTCTGCCATCAACGTCCCGTATCCTCACGCGCAATTCTCCTTCAACCTTTTCGCCATCTCCGTTCACCCACCAACCTCCTTCATCTGACAACCGTCCATCCCAGCCCTTCTTCATGTGACCAGCTTCTTCCGAATGCCACGACCAGTCCGAGGGCAGACACTCTTTGAGTATACTAACGGGAAAGGTGTTGAGATGTGCGAGCGTGAGATGAGTCTTCGCCTGGTCCGTGATATGAGCGGTCAGGTGGGCATTTCGCGTTGGTCGCCACACAATGAACGAGGCAGTAACCCAAAAGAACGGCGCCGCGTATTCATCAACGTGTCTGAGTAGTAAAGGCTCCGCGGGCGCATCATCATCAGAACTTGACTCGCTTTGCTGTTGAGATTGTGACTTCTTGGTTTTCGATGTTGCTGCGGTTGGTGGTGTGCTATTCAGCTCAACATCTTCGTATGCGAGGACCACACCCTTCGCAGGTGGGAAGTATGTGAGGAGTAGCGGTGATAGTACGGTCGCGCACACTGCTGAGAAGGGATCTGCGAGACATGAAGGCGGGATGCAAACGTATTGCGATATACGCTCGGTATAGAATAAGGAAGCATCGTCGCTCTGTACTGGTGCCATTTTCGGGAGAGCGTGAGTGAATCTTGGCGCGTAGTGTGGTTTGCGATCGCGTTGTCGCAGAAGTCCTGAGCTTGGAAAAAAGTTGGAGATGTCGGCGTGTGAAGTTACCGATATGTGGGGGTCGACGCTAGGATAAATCCGACTAGCTACCACCAGCATCATGTATCAGTGAAAAGTGAAGGTAGCATAGAATCTCAATTAAATACGCTTCGTGACAGCGTGCATATCTTCTGGTATGTTTTCCGATCTATAGGCAAATCCAACGCCAAATTTTACTACACCAGATCAGGCGTCATTTGCATGATGCTCATGCCGATGCTAATGTCAAGCTCGCCCAGGACCTTTGTTTTACATTTGATTTCATAGCGGAGCAGGAATCTCTCATCTTCTGGGCTTCTCTGCTTCCTTACGCTGGAGCTTAGTAACCACCCGCTGCAGAGCTGTCTTGATTTCGCCCTTCTTGAACTGCGACAAGTCGTAGTAGTTCGGTGAGATGTCCTGGCAGAGATTAGTGTCATAATTAGGTACAAAGGTATGATGACAACTCACCAATAGCCACTCGGGCTTGACCGAAGTCACTGTGCGGATATAGTTCTTGGTTGTCAAGACAAATTCGTTGTAGATGACCCATTCACTGTCTTCAGCAAGAACAGTGCTAGGGTGCAAAAGAACATTTTGCTCATCCTTGACGGTAATGTAGCTCTTGCCGTTGCCATCGCGTTTGGCGACTTGCATGAAGAAGCCAGCCACGAGCGCACGCTGAATGTTCTCGTAGTACTTCTTGTTCTCGAATGGTGTTGACATCAATTCGAGTTCCTCACGCTCCATTATGCGCTTGAGTTGAAGACGGACGTTGTCGGCTTGCTGCAAGGCTCGGTAGGAGAGGAAGTGGTCGTGGCACCACTGCTTCGGGTTCGCTTGTGCCTCCTCGCTCTTGAATGCGTGATAGACATTCAGCATGGTAAGCTGGTCGCCCTTGGGATGCGCAAAAAGCTCCTTCATCTCGTCTGCTCGCTTCCGGTTGTTGGCTGGGCGAACAAAGATTTGGGGTACCGAGAGTAGCGCAGTAAGCGACAAAATCTCATTCGAGCAGTAGAACTCGGGTGATGTGATGAGCATGACTGCCAAGGCGGGATCCAGGGGAAATTGTGAGGCAAGTCCTCCGAGTGTGGTGAGCTCGCCCTCGTCGTCGAGACATGCCAGGTAGTTGAGCTCCTCCAAGGCACGCATCAGCGTCTCTGGCGCAGGTGGGTCCATCAGATCAAAGTGTACCAGATCATCGACTCCGAGCTTCTTCAACTCAAGAACGGTGCTTGCCAAATTCGATCGCAGAATTTCGGGGTAGGTCTGTTCGATGAGCTCCTTCTTGAAAGCTTGCTCGGTGTAAAGACGGAAGCATTTACCAGGTCGCGTACGTCCCGCACGACCAGCTCGCTGTTGGGCTGAGGCCTTGGAGATGGGAGAAACCAGGAGAGACTCGACACGGATACGAGGGTTGTACACCTTTTGCTTGCTGAAACCAGGGTCCACAACGTAGACGATACCGTCGATAGTGAGAGATGTCTCAGCAATGTTGGTGGAAACGATGACTTTGCGCCCAGGACGGCCGCCTGGGGTGGAGGGTGGAGGCGCAGGGTTGAAGATCTTCTGCTGTTGTGCGGGCGGCAGAGTTCCGTACAGCGGGTAAACCACAAGTGGCCCAGCACCGCCTTCTCGAGAAAGGTCCTGGGCCTCGAGATTTATCTTCCTACATGCGTCCTCAATCTCTTCTTCACCAGTCAAAAACAGCAGAATATCGCCCTCGCCCTCGGTGGCGTGGATCTGAAGGACAGTTCGCAGGGCGGCTTCGACGTAGTCTCGCTCGGGCGCGGGTGTGTAGAAGACCTCGACGGGGTGGGTTCGTCCAGGAACGGCGAGCAGCGGGGCGTTGTGGAAGTACTTCTGGAACTTGGTGGCATCGAGCGTAGCACTCATGATGATGAGCTTGAGGTCGGGCCGCCTCAGGACAACCTCCTTCAGCAGGCCCATGAGGATATCGGTCGCCAGGGTTCTCTCGTGAGCTTCGTCGAGGATGATGGTGCTGTAGCGAGTGAGGTTGTGGTCGTTCATGGCCTCGCGCAACAACATTCCGTCGGTCATGTACTTGAGGATGGTGTTGGGTCCCGTCTTGTCCTCGAAACGAATGCTGTATCCAACCTCCTCGCCGAGCTCGACGTCCATCTCCTCGGCCACACGCTGGGCGACGGACATGGCAGCGACACGACGTGGCTGGGTACAGGCGACCATCTTGGCATTCTCCTGCGGCAGGTCGTCAAAGAGGACGAACTGCGGGATCTGAGTCGTCTTTCCGGAACCCGTCTCACCGACGAAGACGAGAATCTGCGACTCCTGGTAGAGCTTGAGGAACTCGTCGCGCTGCTGGTGGACGGGCAGGTCTCGCCTCTTCTTGAGGATGCTCATGTACTTGCTCGAGAGCGGGCGTCCAGTAAAGGCGTTGTTGGGGCCGTCTTCGGCGGCGTTTGCCTGCGCCGTGGTGGTGGCATGGCGCTTGAAGCCCTGGAGCCCTGTGCTGGCGCCGCTGTACTCGCTCTTGACGGGCTTCTCGTCGTTCCAGTGCGCCAGGTAGGGATTCGCCGCCGCGTCCATTTTGCCTTCGCCGTTGGACTCGGTCTTTACTCGCTTGACGCGGGCACTGTCGTCGTCGCCGTATTCGCGCTTCGTCATGGCAGTCATTGTGGTGAATGGGCGTTGTCGGCGCGCGTGTGAAGGGCGACTGCAATCGCCGTCCCAGAAAAAGTTATGCGACGGGCCCAAGTAGCTCCACTTACCGCGACCTCTCTAGCTTGGCGCGAACCACGACAGGCTGCCAGGCACCACAGCAGAATCCACACGCAGCTATGTAGTAAATATACATTTCTCCACCTTGGGTGGTCCCTTCTTCCTGTCCAGCGCCATACCCCAAGTCCTCACGTCCAACCTCCCCCTGTCGCGCGCGCCGCAGCATTGCATCCGCGACCTTGCTGACCCCGCGGTAGTCCGCAACATTCACCAACTTTTCTCCCGCCTGACAAAATACCCCCAAATTGGCCCGAATAACATCCGACCCTGATATGGATTACTCGGAAGGCATGGACGAGTCGTTCCCCGTCTTTTACATCGGCCAGCATGAGTCGAAGCGGACCCTGCATGTGTCGCCCGAATTGGTCCAGCATGCCCAAGATCTCGGTGTAAGTGAGTCGACGACTTGCACCAAGGACCCTGGCTGACAACCTCCAGTATGATATGCTTACTAGCACCATCACCAACGACCACTTCCAGAACCGCGTCTTGAGCCTCCTCAACTCCTACACCCAGACCCTCGCCGAGTCGCAAAACCAACCGCTGCCTTTGATACCAGCCTTGGACAACTTTGATACGCCGCTTACTCCCAACGACATCATCGGTCAACTGGTAGCTTTCACTAGCTCCTGGATTGACCTGTCCTCGCCAGACCCAATCATCTCGCATTTGTCACGACAAGTCTTCCATCTCGAGGTTGCCTATGCTGCTTTCTGTGGTGTTACCAATCTGGTCATCCCCGGGCCGAGACTCGCCCATGGACAGACCGGCGTATCTCAGTATGCTCGGTCCATCAAGGAAGCGCTCGTCACTGGATCTTACATCCAGCTGCACATCCAGATGCCCATGGACGGAAGACAGTCAGACTCCACCAGCGACGACATGGGAGACCTAGCTCGCTTCGCAAGACAAGAGTTTGAAGCAAGCACCGAGGCCAAAAACGTTGATTCTTGGAGCTCATGGGACGCTTGGAACACCATCAGATCCATCTGCAAGTACCACAACAGATTGTCAGTCATGCTCGATCTTCCGCGTCGACTTCCATCGTTGGCTGTCCAGTCACGCTGGTTCTCCGAGCCTGTAAGACTACTCAATCTGTTGGCCTCGTCTTTTCTTGTCAATGCTCGCCAATCCTTTGTTCTCTCCAAAGCGCATCAGGTCTTCATATTCCGTTGCATGCGCTTACAGCGTGGACCTTGGCTACTCATCTCGGATGTCGGCCCACTACCAGGCATCGATGACCCGGATATGATAATGTCATACTCAACCGGCCATCTATCCCCTCGCACAGTAGAGGATGCACCGAGCCCTGGGGCTTCAACAATGGCTGCTCCAACTCCAGCTGAATCAGCTGAGATCGCAAAGAAGGCTCCCAAGAAGAGCAGTAGCAGCAACGACCCAACTCCTCACTTGAGCTACGTACGATACCTGCAGCGCAATCAGCCACCCAAGAGCCAGATCGAAAGGTTTGGTGGTGGGTTCCAGGACTACCTACAGAGCCCACTGCAGCCCCTGACGGACAACCTCGAATCTATCACATACGAAGTATTTGAAAAGGACCCGATCAAGTATGCGTGGTACGAGCGAGCTATCGCTCAGGCGCTGAAAGATTGGCACGCCGAGAAAAGATCGACTAGTTCAGATAACGGCGCTGTTGTTGTGGCCGTTGTAGGATCAGGTCGTGGTCCTCTTGTCACACGTGCACTCAACGCCAGCGCAAGCTCCGGGGTCCCCGTCAAGGTTTACGCCATCGAGAAGAACCCCAATGCCTACGTGTTACTACAAAGACACAACATCGAGACATGGGGAGGACGTGTCACTGTTGTTAAAACGGATATGCGAGCCTGGAAAGGCCCGACACAACCAGATGGCACTTTCGGCAAAGTAGACATTCTTGTCAGTGAGCTTCTCGGATCGTTTGCCGACAATGAACTGTCGCCGGAGTGCCTAGACGGTGTCCAGCATGTCTTGAACCCAACTCACGGAATCTCGATTCCATCCAGCTATACTGCCCACTTCACCCCCATCGCCACTCCAAAGCTTTGGTCTGATCTGTATACTAGGAGCACCAGCGTTGACCCAAATGCTTTTGACATCCCCTGGGTAGTCATGTTGACACAGTTCGACTACCTCTCCACCGAGTCCCAAGAAACAATCGCTTCCCAACAACTGAGCAACGGCACCAAGATGCAGCACTTCAACCTAGAAGCGCCGCTTACACCGAACGTGCGAACAGCATGGGAGTTTACCCACCCCCTCCCGCCTTCGGTTCTAGCTCAGTCCTCGCTGCGCAAGGGCGGTTCGGCAGTAGGTGGTGGAGGCGGCTTCAGCGGCGGCGACGGCGCAAACGAACACAACCTACGCTACTGCAAGATTGCTTTCCCCATCCAGGAGCCTGGTGTCTGCCACGGTCTCGGCGCGTATTTTGAAACCGTTCTCTACAGCGGGTCTGAAGGGCCTGTGGAACTCAGCACGAACCCTGTTACCATGGAGCAGAAGAGCAAGGATATGATCTCTTGGTTTCCCATCTTGTTCCCACTCAAGGTATGTATCCGCTGGACATGACCATGTATAGAGGACGAGAACTGACGTCACGCGTAGAACCCCATGCAGCTTCCTGCAAACTCAGAGGTCGAAGTCAGTTTCTGGAGACAGACTGATGATCGCAAGGTGTGGTATGAATGGCTTGTTGAGAGTTATATGACGGTCAACGGACAGAGGATACGACTGAGTGTATCTGATCTCCATTCGAGCAAGTCCAATGGCTGCATGATGTGAGAGGGATATTGATAGTGTTCTCTTAGTATCTGCTAGATACCACTTCACCTGCGGGACAAAAAGTTGCTGTTTATCTTGCTTCATCAGTTCTTCACCAGGGCCATGTTACACAGTTACTCGTAACTGCACTGCGGTGCCACGACGACGACGACGGGTTTGTGCACGATGAACGCACTGGTGCTATGTAGCTTCACTACGGGATACCAAGTCGCTCGCACGCCAGAGTTCAGGATATCGCTTATGATTCGTGGTATCTCAAACTGAAGAAAAAAAGTTGTCCTTTGCGCCATAATGCTCTTCCTGCTGTGCTCTTCTCCAAAATTGACCTGTTCTTTTCGCAATCGAGCATACTCGCATCAACTCTACAAGTACTCCTTCTTCCGTCCCGTCCTCGTGTACTGGTTGAGATGCCATTCCACATCTCCCTCCTTGTTGTCCAGCGTCCCTGCCCTAATCTCGAACAATCGCATGCTCATCCGCGGTCCCACTTCGGCCAGCTCAACCGACTGGAAACCTGTCTTGACAAAGACGTGATGTCGCACCTCGATCGTATCCTCGATGTTCTTGAACGTGACAACGCGGTTACCGACCTTTGCCGTGGCTTCGCGGGGCGGGAAGAGATGTTTTAGAATCTGTACGCAGCGCTGTCCTAGCTTGGTGGAGAAGCCTTCGAAGATTAAGTGGGGGTAGGATTCGGAGACTGTGCCGCGGGAGGCGTTGGGGATATCGGCGCGGAGAACGACGTTGCTGGGACGTGTGAGTAAACGGAAAGTGCAAGACGCTGGTGGAGTGCTTACTGTAGTGAGAAGCTGGCGGTTGGGCCGTGAGGGAAATGCGAAACTGTTAATGCCGTGGGCGTTCCTCGGTGCTCGTGAAGCAAGACTATGTCGCTCAGTCCGCCCGATTTTGCGCTCTCGACCAAGTTTGGCAGGACCATGTTTCCACGGTTCAATCGTATCGCTGTGGGTAGCAGTAATCTGATCTCCTTGGCGAAGGTGCCCAGTCTACTTGACGGGTCTATCTCAGCGTCAGCATATCTGTGTCATGTCGCTTCTCCCACGCTTTCGTACCTCTCGAAGTTGTGACCAATATCCGCGGATCTACGACGCCCGACAGCTGCGCATACTCATCGTCTAGCCCGAGCTCTTCCTCTGCTGTCCTATCCGCCCTGCTCTCATCGTATTTGTAGTCCTGGCGCAGGGTCTGGTCCTCGGCGACATCTTTGGACAAAGGCTTGCCGCTGGCGAGTGAAGCTTTTAGTGCTGCTCTTTTCGAAGCGAGCTCGGCATCGCGGAGAGTCAGAGCGCGGCGGTACAGGTAGTCGCGACGTTCTCGGGCTTGTTTTCGGATCATGGTCGAGGTATGTGACGTGTGGTTGGAGATTTGCTTGAGGCGCAATGTTAGAGTTCGCGACGCAACGACGAAAAGTAAAAGTGGGTCGACCGAATGAGCTTATCGATAACGCGGCCAATGCAACAACGTTGGACTACAGACTTGTCTATTTACGTCGTGCTTAACATGTACTGCAAAAATATGCGCTTTCGCTCACATCATCATACTTCGAAACTGGATACAGTGAATGCTTCTAGTAGGCAACTCCGGTAGTTGCAAAATCGACAATCTTCGTGTCCCTCACATTGCAACTAAAGACTACCGGGTTCCACAAAAACTCTACCCCGTCGAACCGGTACACCAGGAGGAGACGTGGGCTCGAGATCCTCATTCCAACACTCATAAAATGCCGCCCAGATGTTGCTACTGAAGTCGGCCTCGACGGGACCCGGGAACTCGCCGATGAGATACCCAACACCACGCGTCGCCTCGCTGTAGAAGTTACAAGCGTGCGCAGACTCTACATGATAGCTTGTGGGTTGGATGTAGTAGCCATCGTTTCTCTCGAAGGTGATGACGCGGACGTTGTTGTGACCGGTGATATCGAGTTGGTAAACCTTGCCCTCGCTGTCGGTAACGTAGCCCACCTCGCTGGTGAAGGTTAGCATTCATTTGCAGTATTTGTCGTGCATAGCGCTTTGCTGTCGATTGACTTCTTCTGCCGACACGGTATGATCCGATGCGATCTCGAAGGGGGCTGACTTACTTGAGAAGCTCAGAAGCTACAATGGCAGATGCGAATGCGAAGGCGCCGAGGAGTACTGTGGAGAAGTGCATCGTAGAAGTACAATGATCTCTTGAGTTGCAAGCTATCAATTTCGACGGGAAGACAGCTGGAGCGAGGACACCGAGGGCTGGAAGGAGAAGAAGATGAGGCCAATCACCTATGGAAGGTAGTCACGAGCGCCTCCGTCTTGTCGCTGCCTTATGTGTTGTTGAAGCAAGAGCGTTTGCCTTGGTGACTGTCTTGCAACTGTGAGCCGGTACGACAACTCATGTTGCACAAACGGGCACTGACAAGTTATACTTATCCTACACATAATAGCGTTTTTCTAGCATCGAGCACTACCGTGGGACCGAAGATAAGCAAAGAAAAAAAAGGAATAAAGAGAACATGTTAGTATGTGTTAGGTGCTACAAGGAACGACGTTCTTACGAGCTGAACTACGAGCTGAACTACGAGCTGAACCCTAAGCACTAAGCTAGGAGACGAACGCTTGGCTTTTGCCGTTCGAGACTCAAAACTAACAACAACGTATCTGACAAAGTGTGTTCTAGTCTCGGGCCCAGCCCTTCAAAACGATCGCTTACTATAACCCGCCGCAGGGCTTAGCGATATGCAGTATGTACATTGGCGCTCAAGCGGGAGGGTTGTGGCAGCTCCAGAAATTAGGCTGCTTCTTCCAACGGCGTTCTTTCCCCGTGACAATGTCACAGCGTCCAAGCCTATCGATAGTCTCATCGACGCCGCTGTTACAGGATCCAGAGTCGACAGAACTAGATAAGCAAGCATTAGCACGTAGACCTCCAGTGCCTCGGGCGGAAGTTGAGGTAGTATGTACTCACTAGTACAAGTTGCACTCGCAGTTCAACATTTTGATACCAGTGACCTTGTCTGGGTTCAGGATCCTCTGGCACCCATCATAGCCTAGCTGTTGGTTGGCCTTATCTCCGATCATGACCTCGGCACAGATGTTTGAGTTGATGTAACATTTGTCGTTCTTTGTCAAGACGCTACGCGTTGTGTGAGAGAAGTCTCGGGGATGGGTTGCAGCAAAAGCAACTGAGAAGAAGCCCATTAAGGCAATAGAGTAAGAGCCGAGGAGATGCATATTGTTAAGGTCGCCAGGACTTGCCTAGAGATCGGTGTGCGAGGTCAGTATCTGTCTCACATGCGGTTTGTAGGCGGATGTTACTTGCGTTGAAGTGTCGATAGGAGCCTGGAGTCGATCTTGCTGTCCGCTGTCGTTAGGCTTGTGGAGAAGTAGCAGGAGGTGGATCTTTTCTGCCTGCTTTTATAGTAACCACGATGACACTCCAGGTCGTGCCGCATAACGCATTTGCACGCAGCTCAAGGTCGTTCACGGGTAGGATTGAATCATTTTAGGAATGTGTGGCCGAGCCCGCAGAGGGCTCGCGCTCTATGGCCCGGGCCGCGCTTTCCACGGGATCCAAAATGCGCGGAGAACGATAAATCCACCCTTTCGGACATCATGAGTATTGGTTCAAGCTCGCGTACGTGTATTTATACTGCCAGCTCATCAATCATGCACTATTGTGGCGTGAATGGGGCCGACGCTGTTCCTCGAACATCAATCCAGATGCCATCTCGCATGGGAGGCGTGGCAGGAGTGACTCCTACTCGCATTCGAGATATCAATGACATGCAACAATTCGATCTAGAACCGAGAAGATTGACGGCACTGTCAACAGGCTTGTGGACTGACAAATAAGTTGGAAAAAGCCTGAATGCGTTCGCAGTGTCTTCATGTACTACATGCACAAGAAACGAAACTGCGCATTCATTCGGGCTAGAACATCAACATTTCGGCTATGATGAAGAGAGGAATACGATGGAGGAAAAGTTTTATTATCCTAACCAAGTCATGATGAAATCTACCAGCGACACAAATGACCGTCAACGCGGCCAAGTCAGTAGCTCAGCCACCACTGACATACCAAAGATGTACTCAGTTATAGTATTACTCATCAATCCTTCATGTCTATCCGACCCACTCATGAATGTGTTAGCCAATCGTCGCGCACTTGTACCACTTGGGATTCGGGTCCTCGAAGCAGGGCTCCTTTCCGGGTGTGCCAGTCGGCCCTTCGTACATGGGTGGATTGGTTGCTCCTTTGCACTTCTCCTCGCTCCTAGTAGTTGTTAGTGCACACCGTGCAGAGGGTGTATGTTCGCCTTCTACAGTCTGACTCCGACGAGGAGGTTGTCTCGACAAGGACACCGTGTATCGATGGAACTTACAAATGAAATGAGCATTGACATTCCCCATAGAGGTTGTAGGCATAGGCGTCTTGATATCCAGGGATTGACTGGTTGTAGTAGATCGCCGTGCAGTCGGAGTATGCGGAGATACCAGCGTAGGCGCTGCTGTTCCGGACGGTGAGAACGTAGCCGCAGTTGTATGGCTCGCCGTAGGTAGGTGCGGATAGTGCAATAGGTAAGGTAGAAAGCAAGCTCGTGAGGATGGTGGTGAGCTGCATCATAGCTATCTATCGATGGATTTGGCTTCGATAGAGACGTGGTATGTCACTGATAAATCGTGGAGGATGTCGGAGATGTGGTTGCGCAGGCTATAACAGGGCTGGAGGCCTTTGAAGACAATCTTTTGAGTGTAGTTTGGATGGTGTATGATGCTCCAACAGAAAGCGTGCGAAGCCTAAATACCACATTTGAGTCGCGATGAGCTCATGCTCAGATGTTTTCGCCAGTCGTAACCGAGCTGTCAAAATGCAAGTTCCCGTCGTCAGCATGGCTTTGGTCCTCCCTTCCTTGCCTATCATGGATGTCGGGAGTTACACACAAATACTGTTTGGATGTCACCTTCGCTATCCTGACGAATGCACCTACTATAATGTCCTATCAAACATGGTGAACATGATCAGGAGCCATGTATGCAATATGTCGGTCAAGCCGAATTGACGTGTTCGGAGTTGGGAGCAGGTTGACCGCCGAACCGCGCCTCTCCAGTACAACGTTGGAATGTATTCGAGACGTTAGCAGCAGTAGCATGGCGTAATATATGTGTCGATAACATAGCTCTAGTGTGCTTGGCACGGTTTGCTACTTCATCTCTACAGGAGCGCGAACGCCGATTGGTCAATGGTAGCGGTGAGTATAGTTGAAGGTGTTACTGCAACGGTATGACGAAAGAGACTGGAAATAAGTAGCGCTCGAAGTGGTTGTACCAGTTCCCTAGATAGATGTGATACGAGCAAGATCAGCAGTATTAGGACAAATACAGGCGAAAAGAAGAGTTGTGATGTTGCAATGAATGCAGTGCTCTGAAAATCCAGTACTCGGCGTCGCGAAACCGGAAATGTGCCCTGGAGGCTGTCGCGATATTTCGTGTTGATGGCTTAGAAAACGGGATGATGGTGTATGCCTCAAAGGTATTTGGTAGCTTCCTGGTGATAGGAACACTGGAAAAACCGTGGCATCTTGGATCATTTGCACCGTCTAGTGAATGTGGTCAAGGAGATGGGAGAGAAGGCACGTCGATACTGGAGATGACGAAGAGGGGTGGCTCTAGCGTGCACGTGAGAACGCGAGACCTCACGCGTCAACATCGACACAGGATCAAACGTCCAGACCCATATTCAGACTCGATCCAACTTGCACACAATATGAGCAGAGCAAGCATAGAACAAGCCCTCACGGGCTTAATACCCACGCTGAGCGGGCCATTGCCAGCCGAGCTGATAGAGCTCGCGCTTTCGCTACTGACGCGGTCGCGAAGCGTCGCGACATCGATGAAGCCAGACGAAGAGATCGCACGACCATACGCGTGTGCGCAATTGGCGTGTGAGAGGTATGAAGAGCACCCAACGCACGTTCTGGCATCACGCTGACATGTGAAAGGCTGAAGAAGCGTCTCAACCTCCCGACCATCCAATCACGACCGCCTTGTCCCCCGCGCATATACAAGAAACTATACAACTATCTCAGCAGCGCACTCCCAGAGAGCACAGCGACCCGCGAGCCAACTACACCGCGAAAGCCGACAGCTTCAGCTCCGGCATCAGCACGCAACACACCGTCAAAAACGCCGTTGGGCGCTAGGAAAACACCAAGGAGGGTTGAAAGCAATAGCGAAGCACCAGAATGGGTTATGCCCACTATACGCGCCTTGGCAAAGTCATTCGACTACACCGGTCTGATACCTCACGTATACACAGGAGTAGAGTCTATCTATCCGCTGCTATGCCGAATGTCCGCCGCTGCCTCCGAATCACCCAGCAAGCGACCTAAAAGAACCACAGTATCGTCCTATGGGGATGTTAGCGATACGCGCGTATTAAGTCTCATCGTTGTGGTTTTTCTACTAGTATACTCGCGCATGAAAGACATCGAGGTTTCAGTACAACAATACAACGAATGGCTGGCGAAAGCAATCAAGGCTGTCGTTGAACTACCTGCTGCCAAGGACATTACAGAAGAGGAGCTTCAGATCAAGATAGAAGAGACGATGAAGATGGCAAAGGAAGAGGGATGGTTGCAGATGCAGTGGTTCGATAGTGTGAAGCCTCAGAGTGATGGAGATGAGATGGAAGGCGTGGAGATGAGCGACAATGCGGCAGTCAAGGCGAAGGGTATGGGGTTGAAGGCTGGTGGCAGTGATTATATTGGCTTGGGTACTATGATGCAGGATGCAACTGATTATCTGGGTGAGCGCCAGCAGGAAGATTATACGAGATGGAAAGCGAAGATTTTGGCGAGAGTGGAAGAGCTTGAGGCGTCGGCGTAACTAGACACTATGAAGAATAGGATGGAACGCGAGCGACCCGTTGCAGCAATACACGAGAAAGCGAGTTCATAGGCGCACATCACCGAACGCTTGGATGATAGATCCGAATTGCAAAAGGCTACAGCAGGTCCCAGTAGAGCCTCCAGGGGATTCGCAGCATCTTTCCTGGCCACATCTACGTTGCAAGGTTCAACGCCTCCCTCAGACATACCCCTCACACGGCGCGCCATGCACAACTCTAAGCCATTACAGTATGCACCCTAATTACGTTCTTCCCTCGCTTCCTGACACTGGCGATTCGGCTGTCCATCACGCCTACCGGCTCATCCGGTCTGGTCACCTCAGCTGGTGGTACATCTCCAATACTGAAGAATATGTGTAAATCATCTGAAAGACGTCGGTTTTTGAAGGGCGATTTGTCATTCTTGACTACAGTCACTTTAGTGATCCTCTTGATTCCAAGTTCGGCCTTGTGTGCTGCAAGCAAGTGGCCAGCTGTGGCGCCTATGGGTGAGCCTGAAGGTAATCAGTATGAGATCTTAGCAAAACCAGGGAGTTGAGGATAAGACCAGGTCCAATCCATGGCTTTCCCAGTCGACATTCCCAGTTGTCAAGCGTCGATGCATGCTACAAGACTTACCGATCAGGACTCGGAACTCCTCGCTTCCAATATTGAAGACGTTACCCGGCCAGACGGACAATTTATTTGTGCCGACATTCTTCAAGGCTCGAGCTACCAAAAGAGTTGTGTCCGTATTGATGACATTGTGAGCGCCATAGACCAGGAAGTTCTTGACATTGGGGTTATCGCGGACCCAATATGCCCAGAAGACGTCAGACGCAAATTCAATTGCAGGAAGCTCCCCAGGATTGGCACTACGACCCCAGGACATCGGACTAAGAACGGCATGGCGTGGACTCTCGATGTTCTTGGCAATGAGACCTCCGTTATGGTTGATAGCGAACTGGTAGACGCCGGCTGTGGCCTGTCGTGTCTTGTTAGTATTCTGTCCCGATGTAGGCTGTTGTACTTGTCTGTGCATATAGATTTGACGTACTGTATACTCCTTACCGTCGGCTTTGTACTTCTGGTCCTTGATAGGAATCGTCTGGCCCCATTCGTCATCAGGATCTGCAACCCAGTATTCGTCATAATGTTGAATTGAATAGCAGTCGTTGCTCCCTGCTTGTGGATCACCCTCGTCGTCGTACTTTGATTGCGAGTTGAGACCGAGACCTTCAAACGTCGTCTTGAGTCCCATGCCCTCGAAATCACATTCCCAGCCCTTGTCGTACTGCGACTCGTGCCAGAACCATTTTTGGAGTTCAGCTGTCGGAAATGTTGGTCTCCTGGTATCGAGATTATGGAGAGATTGTGCTCACCTCTAAGATCACCCGTCCATTTGCTCGCGGCTGAAGGTGGTTTTCTGGGATCCTTCTCTAGCCATCCTGCGCCTGCGTCTGTAGCCTCCATCAAACACGTCATGTGGTCTCCCTTCTTGAGGTATTTGTCCCAGAGAGTCTTACCAGCCACATTTTCTGGATCAAATGCGTTACCTCCCAGGGCAGGCGCGAACTCAGGAGGGTCGAACAAGGGAGGGGCCCCCGAGGGGTCGACGCCGAAGATCTTGGGTGAAAGCGCAGGCCTCTCACTAACAGCCAAGGAGGCCACTGCTACAATGCCGCCTGAAGCGATTCGGAGCCTCATATTTGAGATTGCTACGATAAGCTGGGTGTGAGACCCAAATACTGAGGGGTGCGTGGTAGACAAGGAAAGCACGTTTGTCACTCGATATACGCTAGCCTCATTCAGGGAAAAAGTGAAAGAGCGACCAGTGAGCGAAGGTTTGGCGCACGACAGCTGGAACCTGCCATCAGAGTTGTGTAGAACTCAGCAGGATCATATATACGCACGATCACTCCTTGTACAGCTCCGCAGTCCTCACTCTCCCTTCATCAAGCACACTACCCAAAAGATCACCCTCACTACCACCTCGTGGCACAAGCCTCACTCCGAAATCCCTTGGTAAAGCCACTAAAGCACTCTTGATCGCGTTATAGTCCACGTAATCCGTATTTGGTGGATTTGTCACACTGGCCTCAATCCTGTACAGACTGAGCAAACGGAACAGCGCAGCATAGATTAGCTTGCTCGCTATCAAAGCACCAGGACAAGACCTAGATCCGGCACCGAAGGAGAGGTGAGGCGGGTTAGTGTGCGAACTCGGTGTATGTAAGGCGTCTGGAGATGAAGGAGGAGTGAGCCAGCGTTCTGGGTCGAAGGTAGCGGCTGTAGGGCCCCAGTAGTCGGTATCTATAAGTCGTCAGCTATCCATCACACTGCCCTCGGCTGGATGAAGGTGGATATTTCCTTACCATGATTACCAGCCTGAGCGTTGATCAACACCATCGTCCCTTTCGGGATGACAGCATCCCCCCACCTAACCTCTCCCATTGTCTTTCGCGGCAAACTCATATTACTAACAGTATAATACCGCCCCGCTTCTTTCACGATAGCGTTCAGATATGGTACGGTTTCTTTCTCGAAGTCTGTTGCCCAGGCTTCCTTCAACGCCGCGTCGGTAGGATACATTCTGCGTATCTCGGCATATGCGCGGTCTTGGAAGATCTGGCCTGCGGGTGTGGAAAGGGAGCCGATACAGGATACAAGCGTACCAGGTATAGTTTCGAAACCGCCAGAGACGAGAGACAGACAGATGGAGCTTACCTCTACGCCCGTGAGGCGGGTTTCTTCGTCCTTGAGGATGGCGGCGCTGATGCATGGTTTTTCCGTACCGTTCTTGATCATCCCGCGGACTTTGTCAAGAAGTTCGTTCAGATACTTGTCTCGCCGTTCACGCAGTTCTTTGGAGCGCCGATTCTTTTCGTTGTTCGGCAGGTATCTCAAGATGGGGACGTAGTCTTGGTAGTTCTCAGAAGCGGAGCGGAGGAGCGAGATGGCGGATCCCACTTCGAGGATCTCGCGGAGCAGATCGTCGTAGACTGCGTCCATGCGGATGCCATAGCATAACGTGAGGGTTGTGTTGAGGGCATAGCGTTGTATGTACGGTCGAATACTGACCTCAACTTCTCCACTCTTGCTATCGCGATGGAGGTCACGAAGGATGCAGTAAGACTCCAGATCGAACATATCATAGTAGTTCTTCATCATACCCTTACTCAACGTAGTCGATGCAGCCTTGCGCTTGTTCCGACAACTCTCATCCCACGGGGAGCTTCCAATAGTGAAACCTTGAGTCGAGGAGATCAGCCCATGGAATGTATACAGTTTTGGCCGATCGATCAGTCCTTGAGAATTTGAAACCAGAATCTTTTTACAATCTTCGAAGGAGTTGACAATCACAGCGCGCGTATTACCAAGTCGGATCTGGAAGACAGAGTTGCCGTACTGCCGCCACCATTTCTCGCATACTGTAGCATGGTCGTCGCCGAGCTGGGTGAGATGACCCGTAATTGGGAGGGCGCCTGGTATCTCTGGTAGACCGAGGATGTACGGGACGTCAGTGCGGGTGAGCAGCTGTCAACGTTAGCTCATATCTCTTAGCATTCAATGGTATGCTCACTTTGTATATTACGAAAACTGCAATTGCAACGATCGAAACCACTGCCACATGACCAGAAGGGAGGTACCTGACATGGGGTACTATATCTGGCATATGATCCATGTTGGAAGTGAACAACGCGAAGCTTATAGATCAGCAGCAAATGGAAATAGCCATTAGTAGAGCGTCAGAATGGTTTACTTATACTTGCCATGATCCAGATCTATTAGCACACTGCCTGCACCCAGTACTATCGTGCATGATTGTGAGGGGTTCGTTCGGAAGCATTCCGAAGATAACGGCCGCTTATCAGCTCTGCTCCCACCTTTGAGTTGCTGAACAGCCGCTCGACGCGCTGACAGCACTTCTTGACCAACATGAAGGAGACTATCGTGGGCCTAAAGCTCCTTTCGCATGGAGCTGCCGAATCAAGCTAATGACGTATGCGAAATAGAAAGAATGTAAGAGTGCTATACACCAGCTCACCGTTCGTCGTAATCAAGCCTGGAAAGCCACAATGATGGTATACCCAGCAATATGCGTTGACGTACTATCAAAAAGGTGGCAGTGTATACCTTTGAAATACGTTATCGCGTGACTGTTAGATCAAGATCAGATGTCAACAAGCTTAGCATGCTTAACATCAATCTCATCAACAAAATCTCCAATATCCCCAACCTCCGCGTACCCCTCCGTGTTGCCGAATCCCAAGTGTTGCTCAACGCTCTTCCACGGGCACAAAGCCACAGAAACATTTCCCTTGTCTCCTTTCCCACCAACACACCATCCACGCCCTGTCTTACCCTTTAGCTCGTTTATATGACCCTGTAAAAACCGCAGTTCTTCGTTAAAAGCATCGAGGAACCGGTCTTTCTCATCAGCCCTGACCTTGCAATGGACGATACTCCATACCAGTTCCCCACGACGCGCTTGTTCGAGTTGCGCCTGAGTTGTCGGCAAGGGGAGCTCGGCGTTCGATACATCAAGGTGTTCGAGGTTGGAGTCTACAGTAATTGCGTCTTTTAGACTCTCCAGTAAAGCTTGGTTGTCTGCGCTTGGGATGAAATCGTTCAAGTGCTGATCAAGCGAGTCCCATTCTCCGATGACGTAAATGCACGATGGGTCTTCCGTCTGCTGCATATAGTAGAAGGTGCGGCCGGTGTAGTTCTGCAGGACTGTCTTTGCGTGCGACAGTTTCGAGCGGAGGGCGGCATCATCGATTGTGGTACCGGGTGTGAGGTGGAGGAGAGCGAGTTCGGTGATGGGCATTGTGGACGCGTATTTGGTGGCTGCAATGGCTATGTTATCGCATTGTTAGTATATGATCAAGAAGACGTGTCCCTCTTTATGGCATTATTGTGGTGCGTGATGTGCGCGTAAGGCAGACATGGCTGCGTAATTATCCTCAGGCAGAAGTCTGGTTGCGTGGAAAGGAGGATTCAGGTTGCAGCGTGATGCATGACACGCGAACGCTAGTAAGCCACCAACGGTACTTTGGCTGCCCTGGACCCGGTATTATCACTATGACTTCCAACGCTATGTCCAACTGGGAAGCTGAAAGAATACATGTAGCATACTTGACTCCGTATGTTAGGTCAACCGTCGTTGTAACTGTCTGTCTTGAAGTATCATTGCCGCCGCCACACGTTAATCACGAATGCACGATATTGCTTCGCATACGCATGTACGTCCAAACTGTCAAAGATTGACTCTCTGACAATAGCAGATCTGGCAGCGATAAGTATCGAAAGAAGAGAAAAGCGCGCCACAGTCGACCTGTCTGCAAGGTACGTCCTTGGCCACCTTTTTACCTGTGTAACCATTGGTGGTATTGCACATAGTTCATCTGCGTGTGCCGTGGCAGTAAACCATGACCCCATGGATCAATGTGGTTTCAAGTGCAGTGCTACTGACCCATCAATATCTTCAACGTCTCCACCCCTGCCCCAAGCACGTCTGGGCTTCTCGTCCCCTTCAGTACTTCTTTTAAATCCTCTATCACACCCTCCGCCTTACACTTTTCCACCCCCTGAGGCACATCCACTACACTCCTCAAACAAACAATCCCCCGATACCTGATCGCCTCATCATCATCTTTGCACAGCCCTACCAGCCACTCAACACTCTTCTTCTGCTGCAAAAACTCCAGCACAGCGATATCAACACTCAGTAGCATAGCCAGTGCGCCACCAGCCGCCGAACGCGTAGCAGCGTCATCAACATCTGTCATGGCGAGCAGAAGGTGCAAGCGATGTTTCGCGCGGGGGCTTCCGTCAGCGAAGTTCCCGATGCAGACTGGTGAAGCCATGAGATTACATATGAGTTCCGTTGCCGCACGTCGTATCATAGTATTGGCACTGAGTAGTAGATCATCGACAACAGTATCGAAAGACTGGCGTATAATATGGTCTTGTGTATTCCGGTCCAAACTCGCGAGGTTTGTGAGCGCGAGCAGCGATTCAAATGCGTGTAGTTGCCATGTGCTCGAATCTGTTCGCTGTAGTTGGCTGAGGAGCGGGCGGATGGCTGATGTGGTTGGTAGCGCGGCGTTGAAGACATGGGAGGGGTTTATGCTGATCAAAAGTCGGGAGAGTGCTTGTGCGGTCGTGGGCAAGGCGGCTGGTGGGAAAGGCGTCGTGCCTGTGGTTGAAAGATCGTTGGTGGAGGAAATGTGGTCCCAGATCTGGATGAGCAGTTTGACCGCGCCCTGCTGGGCCATCAGACCTCGGGACTTGGTCTCTTTCGAAAGCGAGAGGAGTATCAGACTGCTCTGTGTAAGGATTGATGGAGAGCCCTTTTTGCAGACGTGGACGAGGAGGGGGACAACCCCGGCTTCGAGAATGCGTTTGCATCGTATAGCGACGTCTTCGTCATTGAGTAGGACGTGTGGTGCGGATGGCTTCTGGACGTTGGCGTAGGCTTTTAGTTGTGCCATGCGCTTCTCCTCTTCCGATTGCAAAGGGAGGTATTGTGTGATGTTGACGAAAATAGTGAGACCGCCAAATACGATGTTCTTTGGTGATGAAGGATCACTCATGGTTTCGATGAGGCGTTTGAGGAACTTGGGCGATTTGGAAAGATCCTCTCGTACTTTGGGTTGAAGAGAAGCATATGCCAGACCCTCGACAGAATCCTGCTTTGAAGATGTGTCGCCGCCTATGACCATTGACTTGAAGCTAGCGATTAGATCACTCTGGTCTACTTTCTCTGCCCTGACAATCCTTGGCGCATCCTCAGACGGCTGCTCCTCGCCCAGCTTGACGAGTATGAGCGCGGCTAGGTTAGCCCGCTTCTTATTCTGACTTTCTGCAACCACGTCCTCCAGCCATTCTCTGCAGTGCTTGCTGATCGCCTCTCGGCAATTCTTATCCACGCATGCAGCGCTGATAAGTTCAAGAGTCGCTTGTTCGAGGTTGTGCGACTTCTTGCTCTGGACCCTAGGCACCAACGTGCTGACGAAGCCCTCTGTAAGGAACAACGCAGCTGCTGGCGTGACAGCGACTGGAAATATGGCTGCAGCCGCTGAAAACGCGATAACGAGGTCGTTCGCTTCTCCCTTCTTGGTCCGAGCCGCAACAAACTTCGATATCAACTCGCTGGCAGTTTCTGGCGCAAGTTCGAATAGCTTGATACTTGCGAGGGTAGCTTGACTGCGTAGGCTGGCAGGTAGTCGGATATCCAGTGAGGTGAGAATCACGTCGAAGCTATCCGCGTCGATGATCCCCTTGAGATGCTCTGCATAATGAGCGAGCAGCTGCGCGATGCCTTTCATCGCACGTTCTGGGTGCTCGAGCGCCTCCTCCATCATCATGGCTAGACTGAGCATGAACATGTCTCGATGACCTTGCTTGAACGATTTGTCGTCGGGCCAAATCGCTCGGTTGAGCAAAACCTTGAGCAAGCCGTCGATAGAGTCGTCACCCCGCTCGAACATTTCGTAGTAAATCCGCGTCGGCTGCTCCCGGACGGCTCTCGCAAGCCACATCTGTGCTCCCGGATTCTTCAGTAGCTCGCCCGAGACCTGATCCAACACATCATCTTCGCCCTTGAAGTCAAACAAGATATCCATCGCTTGTTCTGCTTCTTTCTGCTTCAAGCCATGTGTTTTTATCGCCTTGAGTGCCTTTTCTCCATCGTGTTCATCCTTGCTCCTCACCCAAGCTCGACAGTAACCCAGCAATTCGCTCTTATCTTCCTCTTCCTTCAGCACAACCCATGCTTCCTTGATGCGCGGATGCTCAGGCGCAATCGTACTAGCCTCACGCAGGTACCGAGCTGCAACAGCTAATTCGCCAGACTTGGTGCTCTCATTTGCCCTCTCCACAAGCTGCACCGCCCTGTCTTCGTCAGAAGTAGTTGCCATTGTGGGGTGTATGGTGAATGGAGATCATCTCAACTGACCAACTTGTGGGCTCATGGTTGCGTACGTGTCACGGGGCCTGGAACGATTTGATGCAGGATGCACGGGCCTCAGCGGAGCTATTTAGTGGAGAGCGGGGGATGGCTGATCAGCTCACCCAAGTTCCGCCTACAGCGATCCTGAGGCGTCAAGTCATCGAGAGCACTTGCTGAGCGGGGTATGCAGAATCTTGTTCGTTACCAAATACGGTTCATGAAGTCATTACAAATAATCTAATCCTCGCCCTTCAGCAATGAAGCCTATGCGAATCTGTTCTGCGCCGAAAGATATGCGCCTAGAAAATGCTCAAGTACTAGATGCTTCGCGAAGAACAATGAAACCACCAAACGCAACTCCAAAAGTATCGTACAAGACCCCAACCAAAACCATATGCAAAACGCTATGCGAAACCCAATATGTAATTGCGAAACGTGCGCCAATTCCATTCCCAAATGTCCTTGTCCCCACAACTCCATGCTTATATGTTCTCATCATCGCGTGCACCACTACTTGCCGTCGTCGACAGCAGTATCTGCTCGTTTGCGCTGGATAACGCCAAGGAACAGCAGGCGCTCCCATACATCGTCCTTGACGAGCACGCGCGTTTTGTCGAACGGCAGCCCGTCGAGCTCCCTCAAGCTCCTGCATAGATTGGCAAGCATCATCTCGGTGACCCGCCGCCTAATGCGGGTTTCGTAGTCCAGTCGCTGGAGGTGTTGCACATCTGCTTCAACTTCTCCCTCAGGTAGAACGAAGCGGTTCGTGAGCTGCTCGTCGGAGGGTTTCTGCCTGAGAGACATGACCCGGTTTTCACATGTCGGAGCGTAGAAGCGAAGCGTGAGCGGGTTGTCTCGCCAGTCTAGCTTCGAAAGTGTAGCCAGCTTGCCTAAGACCATTGCGTTGGCACGTAGGCGCTCGAGCTTGTTGCCTGCCAGGAGAAGCTCACTTAATCGCTTGATGTTGAGGAGTGGCCGAAGATCTGTCAAAGAGTTGAAGTTGAGGTTGATAGATCGAATGTTCGGCGTAAGCTGACCGAAGTTATCTGGTAGTTCCTTTAGGCCCATGGAAGCCAATTCTAGGCGCTGAAGGCTCAGTAGATGTTGCGAGATCTGAAGGCCATACGTCGGATTGAGCGAGAGATACAGGTTGCGAACTTCTGTATTCCTGACAAGATTGCTCGCACACATCTCCATGTCCGACTCCGAGTTGAGGATCTGTTCGCGAGCGGAGAATGTGCGTAGATGTCGAAGATGTTCTAGGCCAGATACTTGGGTCAAACAGTTGCCATCAACATAGAGAGACTCGAGCTTAGGGAAGTACTGATCAACATCAAGCATCGTGGTTCCGTTCCGGCAGATACGGATAGACCGTAGGAATCTGCAAGGCTTGAAAGCCGTGTCGATAAGTGGAAACTCCTCTATCTCATTGTCATCTGCGTATCGTTAGTAATGTCCCAGCAAACGTAGCAACCGAAAAACATACCAAGGTTGAGATGCTGGAGCTGGGGCAAGCAGTGCAGGTTCCGTACTTCAAGCAAGTGGTTCTTCCTCAAATCCAGATCGGTAAGAGATTTCCTGTCGAACAGATTAGCAAACAAAGATGAGATGGAGTCTCTAATCGGACTCACAGATTTGTTCGGCTGAAGTCAACCGTGTCGATCTCGTTGCCGCGAACGCTTAATTCCATCAGGCCATCGAGATGTAGAATGCCTTGAAGAGATCTGATCTTGTTGTTGTCCGCCTTCAGAATTCGGAGATGCACCAATTCAGCGAGGCCGTCCAATCTGTCGATATCATTACCGGATATGTCAAGGTGTTGTAGGTTGACGAGGGTCGTCCAAGAGGTAAGTCCATTCAGACAGTTATTCTGTGCCTGCAGTCGACGCATGGAGTAAGGAATACCCTCAACCTGATTGATCTTATTGTCTGAAACATCGAGCTCCTCGAGGTGGTAGCAGAGCTCATCTAGACGGTGTAAGCTGTTAAGGTCCTTTTTGTGGAGATTGACAGTACGGAGATCTTCCCAATAAGGCTCATCGGGCTCGACATCCTGTAGTGCCTTCACAAGCTCAGCAGTGCCTTGTGCATAACGATCTTCTAGAGCTTTAGAAAACCGGCTACCGTTATGTTTCACCACGACTCGATCGGGGAGATCGAACTCATCGATCTGGTTGAGAGTAAACTCAGGTAGGTCACTGAGCATGAATGTGACATCCTTTACAGGTGATGATGGTGCAGTCACAAGCGTATCCCGTCGTCCATGGCGAAGAGAGGGCGCAGAGACGTTCATCGATAACTCCATCCGATAATTCTTCGACGGGGCATCATCCAGAATCGACAAGTCACCATCTCCGTTGAAGACGGGCAGACGACTGGGTCGTCCATGCGACATGGTACGGGTACCATTTGTCTGTCCCCAAGCTGGTTGCTTCTTATCTGACATCTGCTGAGCACTGGAGGGTCCCCATTGTTGGCGGCGTTGCTTCTGAGCATTTTCGGGTTGAGGTTCGCGTGCTTGATCCTCGCGCTCAGCGATCGAGATAGTAACGTTTCGTACTCGCGGACGTTGCACACTTGCAGGAGCGTGGTCCCTCCCTTCGAAATACTGAATCTCATGTTCGACGCCATCTTCTTCTGACTCTGGAATGGCATACGTTGTAGGCGCATGAGGCATCTTGTGTGTGCTGTATATCCGCGGGGCTTGAGTGCTCCACGATGTAGCTCGTGTGTCAGTTTTGGGGAAGCTCCAGCCAAAGTTCGAGGCCTTGGAAGGTGCCGAGCTTGTTTCCGTGTATGCGACACCCTTGCCTTCACGAGTCACTGGACGCGAGTCTTCGTCGTCGTCTGGCTTCTCTGTATCTTCGAGGATGGTTTCTGCTGTAGGCTGGAGGCGGACTGGAGAGCCTGTTCTAGTATCTAGCTCAGTCGTATCTTCTACTGTCAGATCAGGAATGTTGCCGAAAGGATCATCTTCGCTAGCATTCATGGCGCTTGGTTCTTCCGCTTGTAGCTGGTGCTGCCTGGACGGGTTCTTCTGGCGGACCCAAATGTTCTTGTCGCGATCAAAGCTCATGCCTGCGACTTGCTGAGGGATAAGATGCGCCACCGCTTCGGGAGCTAGCGTCGCGACACATTCCGAACGACGTGATGCATTTGTGACAATTGTGTTTCCGAAAGATGAAGCTGTCGATAGGAGTGTGGCGTTTCCACGAGGCGCAGAACTAGGGCGATGGTCCTCGTCATCCTCGGTCTGGTGCCTGTTTGGGTTGTCCGTGATCCGAATATCATCCTGCTCAACCACCACACTCTCTCCTTCTGGTGTTGCAGATGCTCTCAGGCGTGATACTCGAATAGAGTTGACCGAAGAGTTCAAGAAAGTATCGTTCTCGTTTTCTTGGTATTTGCGGAGGTGATTCTCGATTCTTGCATCTATGTCTCGCTTATTCGCGTCCTGCCAGGATGACTGTCGCCCTTCCTTGCTCGGGGGCCGTTCAAACGTCAACATACTGGAAGGATGGTCGTTGACTTCTTCGAGCAGCTGAGTCTCGGCTTCCGTTTCTTCGAGGCTGCCCAAACCACTAGTTGGTCGACCCTTGGTGCGGATAAAGTCCATGATCTTGAGCGCTTCATCCAGGAAATCTTGCGTGGTTACGGATCGTTTGCGAGTCTTATCGCGCGCGCCAGGCTGCCTCCTCAAAGTGAAAGCAGCGACCTGGTTGGCGACGGCCTTTGCATGATCTCGTTCTGTATCAGTATCTGACATGATGGATGAATCTAGGTGTTCCCGAATTGTGTTGAGCTTTGGTGAAGCTTGGATGAAAGCTTCTGTAGCTTCCATGATCTCTGCTTGTATCTCCTCTCGCCTTCGTTGACTAGGCGTAGGGTTGCGGGGTCTCAATATGTGCCGTCGGGCTAGCGTCTCTGAGTCGGCAATGTTCTTCGAGGGATCTAGGCTGCCGTCTTGCGTACGTCCAACAACCGCCTGGATGGCTGCATGCGAACGCTGTATTGTGCCTGCTTCAGCATCACTCGGTATATCCTCGTTCTCTTCATCTTCATCTGCTGCAGTGATTGTCCTTCTACGCTTGGGAGTGGGGTTCTTGAATGGCGATGTCGGACCTCTCTTCCCTTCAGCATACTCGTGAACAATTTCTGAAAAGTCTTCTTCTGGGAATGCCTCCGTCTTTTCCTCAGAGCCCTTCCGGTGTGGTACAAACTTTGGCCGACTGACATTCTGACTGACACTCCGACTGACATTCCGACTGACATTCCTTATTGGGTTCGCTGCCTGGCTAGATACACGTCTACTAGCTTTTGAAGGCTGGCGTCGGACTGGTGATTCGTCAAGCTGGAACTTGAAAGGTTGGCGGCTGCCAGGAGGGGCAACATCTGTAGAGGGTGACTCGTCGGGGGCGCTATCGTTTTGCGCATCGTAATCATCATCGGATGTTATTGCAGAGTAGTCACCAGAGAATTCGTGCTGATTTAGCTGGCCTTGGCCGAAAGACGGAAGTCTGAATGGCAGTTCCGACTGACTTTGATCGAGGTTCTGCATGCTCCTTTCTTCTACCGATGTCAGCCTCGATTGCTTCGGCGCCGCCTTGCTTGACTCTGCTGTGCCCTCTTTGACACTGGAAGCTTTCTCAGATTTGTACTCAAGCTGACTGAGTCGTCTCTGTATACGGTTACTTGTGAAGGTGTCATGCGCATCGAAGAGCTTCAACGGACTTCCAGAGCCTTTTGCTCGGTCTGGACTCAAGAATTGTTCGCGTCGACGATGTGGTGTAGATGGGTTGGTGACCAATGCTGGAGGAGGCGAAGGGTGTTTCGTGGTTGTACTCGACTGAGCTGTGACGGCACGACTGCTGGATGGTCGCGACCCAGCTATCCTTTCTGGCGACGGGCTGAGAGGCTTGCGATGGAAAGATCCGTCCCTAGAATATCCACCTCTTCGAAACTCTACATTCCGGTTCATGTCCGCCATGTCTGGAGTGCCAGCAGGAAGGCCCTCTGGTAGCGACTCATCTTGCAGTCTGGCGAAAGATGAGTCCTCACGGCTGTAACCCAGTGCGCTTTCTTCTTGCTCGGACTGAAAATGGTCCGGGGGCGGCGATCCGATCTGGCGTAACCGGTTGGCAAGTTCGGATCCTCTGAAGTTGGGGGCAGGGTTGGCAGCCTGGCTAGTCTTCATATTTCCGGTCATGGTAAGGTAGACAGGGCTGAAGTTTTCGTTCTCGTACTCGATCTGGCCGCTCACAGTCCGCACCGGGTCGCTTGGCGGCGGCGGCATAAGATTTTGAGAGCATTCTGATGGCTCTTCTTCGTGTATTGTCTCGTCGTGGGAGGGCTCCTCTAGTTCTGTTTGTTGTTGCTGCTCATCTATTGTGGCATCGTGGTCTTGTTCCTTTTGTTGCGCGTTCCGTCGCGTGGCTGGCCATGGTGGTGGACTCGAAGGTAATGGAACGGCAGAAAGACCCTTCAGCAGCCCAAGCCTGCGCTTTGGTTGCGCAGAGTCGTCTGATGCCCCTCCAGCCGGCGGTTGGAAGATGTTCTCAAGACCTGTGGGGCCAAACAAGTCGGTCTGGCCGCCGTAGCCTACTTCGCCATTGACGAGCCTGCGCCTCCACTCGGGCGTGTCATGGGATCCTGGCTCTTTTGTGGGTGATCTCGCGACCGTGTTGTGTGCGACTGTTCCATAGTGGATGCCGGAGCCTTGCGAGATGGAAAAAGACGAGTACGAGGCGCGACGCGGGGGCTCAATGTGTGACGCGTTGGGCGATGACGGGGCGGGCGGGGCGTTGATGTCGCTGTAGCTGCGCTCGAGGAGGGCACTCCTCTGCTTTGGCGGCCGCAGCTCTTTGCCGATGCTGCGCACTTGGATCTCGGAGAAGGAGCCTGAGGACTGTCGCATGCGGGGAAGACGACTGCGGGCCTTTGCCGCGCTCTGGGGAGTCACGGCCGGGCTTTGGACATTGCGTGCAATTGTGGCTGGCGATTCCTGGGGCCATTCTTCGGAGAGCCCTTCAAAGTAGCTGGGCTGTGGGGGGTTTTTGGCCATGGTGGTGGTTGTGGTGGTTGTCTCGGCCGGTGCCGCGTTGGCCGTGTTGATGTCTCAAGTTTGGGCGCTGGAAAATGAAGCGGTGAGGAGGAAACTTGCTGGCTGGCGCCGACGCGTCAAAATAATGCTGCTATCTTAGCGCAAACGGCATATTGCTTCTGCGGCTTTCTCAATGGCGGGCGCAACGTCCAAGAACGCGTCGACGAGTCGTGCTGACTTGTTATCGGGTGTATATCGATATACTAGCGAGCATCTATGACATCTGATGCCGGATGCACGGCCTATCCCCGCGTGCGCTAAGGAGTCGTTCCCACAGCAACCACATACGATCTCCCGCAAAACGCAAGACGACAATGCGCCGACGATGACTATCCCGTCAATCAAGAGAACTAGACCGTCCCGAGAAAACGGCTACTCCATCTCTGAGACGGTAGCAGATCTTGTCTTGGCGGATTCATTCGCTTGTCTCCCGAGCTTGTTTGTTGAGCTTGGTCCTCCTTTCACGCCGCCGTGGCAGCTGCGACACAGACGCCGACCGACGATGCGACTCGACCCGACCCCACCTTATTTTTACATCATCACTGCTGCTACCCATAGAACATTGTCACATGTTGGATTTTAGTTAGAGCTGCATTGTGTCGAGGACAAGCTTCTCGTCACGATTGCCCATAAACATGCCGCTCTATTTACACCCTCACTTGAAGCGGGGACTGGACTTTGATGGCTTCCATGTGGATCCAGAAGACCTTCTCGAAGAATCGCTCGCAGAATACGAGGACGCTGAGCACCGGGCGGCGAAGCGACGAAGAATCGAAGCGATTGCATCCCGATATCTGCGTGGCCGAGCACCCGTCATCGTCACAGCAGGGCTAAGAGGACCCTTCAACAATGACTGGAAGAACCCGTGGGCAAAACCCATACTAGAAAAGAGGAAGAAGAAGATATCACACAAGAGCAACAAGGCCGCTGTTGGCCGAAGAAATGCAGTTGGGCATAGGAGCAGCGCAAGGGTGAGGAGGAGCACTGAAAGCGTTGTCGTCGAAGAATCCGCGCCGCCCCAGACAGAGTCGCCGGAAACATCCAGGGCTGCCAAGGACGATCTCGACCGCCATGAACACGACGATAGCCTCGACGAAATCGAAGTCCCGCCCGCGACAGCGCCCTTACCCGACGACAACGACGACGACGAAGATGTACCCGAGACGATAGAATCCGTGAGCATATCCACGGCTAGATGCATACAAAGTCGCTCTCCTATGACAAACCCATTCTGGTTGCGTCGCCCTGACTCCGCGAGAGTCGACATGCGCAAGGCCACAAACCGGAACACGGATACGTCTCCAACACGGTCACGTTCACGAAATAGCGCCTCACAAACACAAACGTTATCACAACTGCGGCTCAGTCTCCCAAAAGCACCTATTCAGGCTCAGACATCGGCACTTGGAGCACTGGAGCAAGAGGAATGGGCATCAAGCGCATCGGCTTCCATGATGATATCCTCATCTGCCAGGGGTGCCGATACGGAAGTTCAGGCACAAGTCCTAACCGCTGCAGACTCAATAACCGAGGCAGGTGATACTCCGGCTCTGACCATAGCAACACCTCACAGCAGTCAGTCGGGACAACGGTCACAACGGACAGTACCGATCATCACTTCTTCGATAGGAAGTCAAGGAAGATGTACAAGAGATGATGTACAGCAGTCTGCGGGTCGATCTATCAACTCAACATCAGCCTCGGACCCAAGAGAACCGTCACGACGCAACAGTCACCAAGATACACATAATGCGTCCACGCCCAGGCCAGTTTCTAGAAAATCGAAACTGAGGCCGAGAGCAGTCAACTTCGACTCATCGCCAGAGAAAGCTCCCTCAGTCAGAGAACCAGTTGCTGAAAAGACTGCTACCCAGGATGAAGCCAAGAATAAGCTGCAGGAGGTCTGCACAGAGGAAGTTACCGTCGAAGTACAAGCATCTCCGCAGGTGGAAGGACATGTTACCGTGGTCCAGGATGAGAATCCGGATTTCCGCACTAGTCGAGGCAGTCATAATTCTGACTGGTCTACACAAGCCGCGTTGCTGCGAGCTCAGCTTGAGTTCCAGCAAAGCACTTTCCCCATGGTATCGCCTGAGGTCCTTCGGTTGGACTCACAACCCTCACCTCTAGATACACCTCGTCCCTATTTGGCCGCTCCCATCGCAGCAACTACACCCCATTCTGGCTTCACGGTCCAGCGAGACGAACCGCTTGCACCCGAGACTGTACTGCAGGCTCCACCCATCAGTACGCAGGACCTCTTTGGCGCAGCATCACCATTCGCGTTCAGCACAGTGAAGAAGAAGCCCGAAGAATCACAACGAAGCAACCTGCGGTTCGCTCTCAGTCCTAGTGATGGGGTACTGAAAGCTGACGCAATCTCTAAGAGCCCCACTCCTGGTGCCGACCGAATTCCACTGAAGGATAAGAACAACATCACATCGATCTGGAGCTTCACCACAGACAAAGCTTCACAAGGATCCCAGGGGCTTTTGGGTGACATGTCCAAGGGGGCGTTGAAGGACATTAGATTCCCAGCACTGGACATCGACACGTCACTAGGTGACTTCGGCCCTACCGGTGATCTGGATTTTACAGACCGATTCCTTCGTAATATAGACGACACTTGAATGCTATGACAAAGAGGAAATATGATTTCGTCTTCAGGCAATGCTGTGCGGGTCAGAGCAACACGGAAGCAGCGGCATGTTCACGTCCCACCAGTGGCCTTAGTCGTCGTGGCACTCTGGTCCTACTAGATGGAAGCATTCCTGTACCGGTATCACAGCGACGTGCAGCGATAGTCACGTAAGGGTGCAGCAGGCGGTGAGAGGCCACGTTCTCGAGTGATTGGTCGTCGACGTTTGGAGCCCATGCATAGTCAATGCAAGCAAAAGACCTTGGGTAGAGCACGGATTGATATCGGCGAAAGGGGTGAGGCAATCGCGATGGGATGGTATAGCCGGTACCGCATAGTTTGGATACGGACCTTTGTAGGGGCACGGGGAGGACGGCGCGGAGGCGGAAAGACGTCTACCTTGTGTCACAGATGTCAAGAATATTGCTTTTCTAATTCCTAACGAAGCTGCAAAGTGAAGCTGCAGCGCGTGACTGCAGCCTATAATGATGGCATGTGTCGTGGGTTGAACCTTGAAAGCGTTCAACGTCGACTAGCTCAGTCCGTGACCCGTGCCGACATCGTTCATGTGGCTCCTTGTGCACGGACGCTCCTGCCTCGTCTTCACATGGACAGGCAACCACGGCATCGCAGCAATTGCCCACGCAATTGCCGCCAAGCCCAATTGTCTTTGTCGCTAGAGGCCAAACTGCCCTCTCCACGTCCGTCTTCTGCATCGTGTAAACAAACATCGCACGGTACCGTCGAGAAACCACCAACCACTCGGGCCATCTGCACTGACGCGCTTTGTTACGCGGTGGCAGTCAGGCAGACGTCATTGGGCCGCTCGCTTGAGATAATCTTTGCGCCACTTTGGCCTTGACGCCAAACCACACAGAATTAGAACGTGGACCTTTCGCATCTCTCACTGGTGTCTCGCTCGCTAGCACCCTGGAACCACATCTGCAGCCCTCCCATCCGCCAGCGCCGCTGCTCTGCACGCTAATCTGGAAGATCCGCCCCTGCTGGCCCTCCGCTGTGTCTCCGCCGCGCCCAAACGACAGCATCCTGGCAAACGACCTGAGCGCCCACCCGGCAATATCTGCCACCCATCCTGCCACGAGGTGCCTTCCCAACGGTCGAATCAATGTCGAGCCCATGTCACCCCAGCCGGACGCCCAAGGAAATACCTCACCCCCCGCATCGGTGAGGTCGAACGCCAGCCATGGAGTTCGCACGCCGGACCCCGAGCACGACCAAGTGACGCCCAAGACCCTCTCCCAGACGGGCCGTTCACGCACGGCTCCCATTGTCCACGATAAAAACAACCTTTGGAAGTCGTCAATTGACCGCCCCCAGCTGGACGAGCGCGACAGCATATTCGCGACTACCTATCTCCACACCGACAGCCCCATCTCCTCTCCGCGGGCCAGCGCACGCAATGTAGACCCCGCCAACGATGCTCCCGAACACAGTCTGTCAGAGATGGCAGCACCAGCACCTCCCCAGAGGCGATTGATGGATCCGCCCATCATTCGCAGGAAACATTCCACCCTGCCGCCATCCACTTCTTCTATCGACCACCAAGCCGTCTTGACTACCCCCTTCAATCCCCGCGCAGCCATTACAGCTGGTGTGGGTTTCGACGCCATCCATCACAGTCCTCCGCCCTTTATGAGTCCCGTCGATTCGCCCGTACAGCACCCCAGCACCCCACCGCGTCCCGAACTCCAATACGAGGCTCTTCTCGAGAGCGAGGAGAGACGTAGGAATAGAGAATGGCGTGAGGGAAAGCCTGTTCCGTTCAAGGGCAACATGATCTCCGACCAGCCTGTCATGGACGTTGAGATGGAAAAGAAGATTGAAGCAACACTTGCCAAGACTGAGCAACCTACGTCTGCCCGCAGTCGGAAAGCAAGCCACTATCTACGCGTATTCAAGGATGGCGACCCTACCGAAGAACCGAGGAAGAAGGACAACAAGGCGAGAGAGCGTCCGTCCGTTGAGAGAACCCTGTCCACGCTTTCAGAGGAAGCCACAAACGAGACTGTTGCTCTGATCGATCAGCTCCGTCGCGCGTCAATGGCGTCTTCCGTCGTACAGTCACCTCTGGGCGGTCCAATCGAGTCATACTTTGAAGCGAAAGCCGCACCTCGCACGGAACCAGGCGCTGTCGCCACTCCCTCTGACGGAGGCACGCGACCGGATGTGAGCACTCCAGACAAGAAGCAATTCCCGCGGCGTCTTCTCGAGGACATTCGCGGCTTCGGAAACTTGACCCCTGGCGCGGACCCAAGATCATTGCTCTCACGCAGTCTTCCTACCTCGGCGGTGGAGAAGGTTC